CGGACTCTCTGCGCCACATGGCCATGCAAGACACGGGAGCCGTGAAGAACGAGGGCTATCACACAGAGCGAATGAGCGGTTTGTTGAATGTGGTGACACTGGTTAGTGTTTGTTGATGAAGGATTGGCGGGGAGCTGGTGGGCGAGGTCCTCCGCCAAGGATGAATGCAGCAGGGAAGTCATGGGAAAAGAATAGGTTGATGGAAATATCCGATGGAGCGAAGTCAGGCAATGAAGCTGAAAGTTGCGACATTGGGTGCTAGAGGAATTCGATTGGACGTTGGTGCAGCTGCAGATTCAGAAACGTTGGAAGGAGCGTTTGATACTTGATGAACAAGGTGATGGATGGTATCGTTGACGTTGCGCAGCATGGACGTGTGCAGGTATGTGCATAGGCGTATCCTTACCTACTGTATGTATGTTGCAGGTACTGACTACTTGGTTCAAGTACACTGCCAGTGTTGTCGGCGAACTATAAAAGCAGGTATCGGAGTACAGTACTTCCTTGCTCATCAAAAGCTGGGGGAGGTTGCACAGCAGGCTGTGCCGCGCCGTGGCTGGACACTAACTGCATGACGCAAAGGATTATGCAGTGCATGGCTGGCTGCGGAATTATATTGCAGACGATCACTGCGTATTTCTTACAAATTTTGTCTCTTGCGTTCTTTTACTTTTCTTTTTCTCTCTCTCATTCCTCATCTTGCTGAGCATATGCAATATCTTGGTAGGCTAAGTTGGCTAGCTACTTATGTACATACATACATAGTTTAGGACATACCTGTAGGCTCGAGTTAGCAGCGCGCCATGTCTGAAGCTAGCGGCAGTCAAGGACGCTAGAAATGGACATGCAATTCTAGCCCAACATGGCAACCGTGGGAAGAGACTAAAAAGGGTGCGGGTGAAGAATATCCGGACACTGGCGTGCTTGATTAGTTAGTTGCTCGACGGGTTGGTTGGTGATTGACTCGACTAGTTTCGTCTCCAGGTGAGTGGCCTGTCCAGTGACAGCAAGATGTGTTCGTTGACGCACCATCCATCCATCACGTCGTTCATCTGTGCGCGCGGGAGCTGTGCGTAGCGGAGCAAACCGCCCACACCGAGTTTGGATAAACGGTGAAAGACGAGATGGCCAACGGGTCCAGTCTGACAGCGTACCTTTGCTGGCTTTTTTTTTTTTTTTTTTTTTTTTTTTTTTTTTTTTGCTTCTTGCGGCGTTGAGAGTTGATCCGCCGGCACGCGCGGGCGGCGTGGGCACTACTAGTAAGTTGTTGCTGTTGTGGCTCAAAGCCGCTCAACTCAACCAACCCAGACCCCGGTTCCTTCTAATTGTTAAGTAGGTAGTCAATTGGCTGGTTCTTGTCAATGTCCTGGGTACATGTGTACAGCCCGCTGGGCAACCGCCCAAGGCGCAGATGGCTGGCGGCAGCGTGGCAGCGCAGCGCAGCTCAATCAGTGTTGGCTTGATTTGATTGACTGAGGAGGGGCAGAACGGAACGACGCGCGGTGTTGGCGGATGGAGACGGGTGACGTGACGGGTGACAGGCGATGGATGACGGGTGAACGGGACACAGCACGGACGGACGGACGGTTCTTGCTTGGGAATCTTCGATTCGCCTCGAACCTCAGCCCGGCAGTCCTGTCCTCTTTCCACGGAACGACAACGCGAGCGAGAGAGAGAGAGAGAGAGAGAGAGAGAGAGAGAGAGAGAGAGAGAGAGAGAGAGAGAGAGAGAGAGGCGGAAAGAGGAGGGAGCAGCAGCAGCAAAAAGCAGGCCGGAGTGTCCGCAGCGTTATTCGCACTGGCGCGTCCATACCCTTGGAGATGCAAATGCAAATGCAAAGTTTCTGGGGGGGGGATGTCTTGGGAAGAGGCTCCACAGGTAGGGCCACTGCATTTTTAGTGCCTTTTTGAGAACCCTGGAGCCCCGCAATCCCGCCTAAGTTAGTTGAGATCCTTGCAAGCAAATTGGAGCTGTCGAGGAGGAAAAGTACCGAGTACCTGCTAATGTACGTATGTACCTAACGATCATGCTGAGGTTGGGTGCAGGCATGCATCTCTGTAATAAGTTGGTTAAGATGATGCAGCAGCAGCAACACTTACCCAGGCAGGCAAAAAGAGGTATATCCTTTTCACATCTTCTGGTGCTTGCTAAACTGCAAATTACATATTCCTTCCTTGGCCCTCATTTCTACCTATGTAGGTACCTAGGTGTGTAAGTATGCATGTAGGCAAGTAGTAGGCAATGCGCAGCTCTAGCGGCGCAAAGCCAACCACCAGCGTGCTGTTATTGGGCACCAAGGTCTCCCTGGTTAGCGCTGTGCTGCCGCGTTCTGCGGGGTCCCCAGGGTGCTTGTGCCTTTTTTGGGGGCAAAACGACGAGGACAAGGTTACTATACGTATGCTCTCCATCTTGGTCGGTGTTGGGTATCATCCTGCGATGCACGAGGACGAGGTAATATCCGTGCGGTGGTTGTAATTTGTAAATCACCCGTCGTCTTGGCGCGGACGGTAGAATTTTTCTCTTCTTTCTTCTTCTTCGCCCCGTTTGCATGCAGCAACCCCTAGGGAAGGGATTCGCAGCTTGGGTAGCGAGATGTTTTGCAGAAAGACAGATTGGGATGTGACAAGTGACAATCAAGTACCTAGGTATCCGTACTTGGGTGCATCTTGAACAGGAGCAACGCAGTCGCAGTGGTTACGAATACACATCGTCGCGGGCCGCCGCGTATCTATCAAGTCTTTCCGGAGCCATGTCTCTGCTGCGCTTCAACCAATCCCTCGGCTTGCTGGATACGCCACAATACACGTACTTTGCACACAAGACACAATGCGTCGACTGTGATACACTTTCTGACTCCAACAGCAACAACCAAAACCGCGCCAACCGGTTGGGGTTGGACAATTCAACTCTCCATGCGCCATCCTGGGCTAGCAGCGAGTTAGTACTCGATACATGGGCTGTCCATCCCTGCTGGCCGCGAACGCCATTGTCCTGCGCCATCTGGACCATCACACCCTTATTAGCACTCCCAGTGCCAGTCCAAGACCCTCACAGCTTTTGAACTCGTCCAACTTGCCTCACATCCTCCTGTACCAGTAGTAACTTGGCCGTACTAAACTTGCACCCTCATGCTCTCGCCCCATCCCCCCTCCTCGGCGGCGGTCGCTACCCCATGCCCATGCCATGCCCATGCCCATGCTAACCCTTGTCCCATGAGCTCACGCCCATGTCCGACAGGGTGGATGTTGGACGTTGGACTGGCCTTGTCCATGTACTCGGTACTGCCACTTCCAGATGCAGGTTGCCCTGCTAAAAAATCAATCCTGGCGAGCGCCCCCCCTCCTGCGACTTTTTTTTGTCCTTTGACGGACCCCCCCCCCCCACGCCTCCTTCTCCGCCTCCAACATCCATCCTTCATCCATATCCATCAGCCTTCTTCTTAGATTGGAGTTAGTATGCCAGCCAGCCAGCCAGGTACCTTGGGACTGGGCAGGGAAGCCAAGCCAAACCCATGCTGCGAGTCTCTCGCCGTCGCCGTTCCAGATAGAGATTGATATAATACTGCCTCGTATGCCCCCTCTTTCTTTTCTTGACTGAGGGCGTGTTCGGCGAATGCGACCAATTCCATCACCAGAAGCCTTTGAATTATTACTTCGTATTATTCTTCTTGTTGGGAAACCTGCTGCGCCAGCTTCTCACGTTGCGCGGCGCAATCAGCGAGAGACCGTGGTGCGGACCACCAGCCTAGGAAGCTCCACCCGCCGCACGCCCCCAAGAGTCCACAGGTACCTCAGTTGCAGCAGACAGACGACAGCCTGCAGAGAACAGCAAGCACTGGACAAACAGCTCCAACAGCTCCAGTCTGAGGTTAGTACCTACATGTCTAGAGGTATCCAGCACGCTGCACCGCCCATTCGCCAACAAGGGAATCCGCTGGGGCTGCTGTGGCCATCGGCGACCGCGCCTCTTCTCTGTCTCTGTGACTCCTCTCAGTGACTTCTCTGACTTTTGTCGGTTGTCTGCCTGGCCGGACCCTCCAAAATAGGACATTTTCTTTAGCAGCAGCACCAGCAAGCACAGCACCACCCCGGCCTGGCTACTGATACTCCCACTGCCGCCGCTGTACAGAGCCCTGTCCTCCGCCAGCACCTGCCTGCCTCCACCTCCCATATTAATTCACCTACCCTGCCCACGACAAGCTTCGACTACCGCTAGGTACTACTATTACCACTCTCTCCTCTTTCATGCCTACAATCTCACCCATCCCTACCAACCGGTACATTCCCACTTTCAAGCGTTGTCTGGACTCTCTCCACCGTTAGACCTCCCCATCCATACCGCTCGCCTCTTTTATACCATTTCACCCCTCCGGCCTCTTCTCACCACACCACCGCCAACATTCATCGCTTTTCTCTAACGCTTCTCACCTCGTCGCCTCTCTTCTCTCTTCATCATTCCTTCCTTGTCCATCTTCCTCACCTCGTTCCTCTCCAGCCGCCTTGCCTTGACCTACGCGGCAGCGACTTGACCATACTGCGACCACCGCCAGTACATACCCCAGCCCACCCTCTGGCTGCCAAACGCACGCCCTCCGCCTCTCCGCCTCCAACGCAAAACACTTCTGGCCGCCCGACAAACCCGTCCTCTTGTTGTAACCAGACCGTTTCTACCAATCGCTTCGCTCAGCTGTTGGCGATAGTTGCACCTCCCGCCGTTTCTGCTCCCTAGGTCGACAGCCGCTGCATCCGCCCGCGCCTGCGCCTGCGCCCGTCTCTGCACTACCCGATCGATCTCGCCCGCCTCTCGCGCACCGGCCCGACCAGACTGCCCTCGAAATATCGCCATCCTTCGCCTCACTCTCACCGACGTACGCATAAGCTTTGACTCTCGCACCGTCTCCTCATCCTCCCTCTCCTCCGTCTCTTGCTGCTGCGAATAACCCCGGTTTCTGCCACTCTGGTAGAGGCTCCAGTGGCGTCCCCCCGCTGCTGCACGGCAACATGTCCGCTGGCCAGCCTCTGCTCAATCTTCCTCCCCATTTTCAGCATGCTGCCCATCCCCATCTCACAAATAATTCACACCTACAGCCTGGCATAGACAGTGCCGCCTTTTCTCAGTCTGGCCCCGGCGCGACCTCTTTCTCGTCCGCCATGGACCCCTCTCAGTTTAGCGATTTTTCCTTTGCCTATGCCAGCATGCCCGGCCTCGCGGACCAGTCGGCTTCCGCCTTTGACGACCCTTCCGTCTCCGACCATTTCTCTCTTCACTCTACAATGGCTCCTGCTTCGGTGAGCGGTGCCAACATGAGTTCGCTGACCGCAGCTTCCACGTCCAGCTTTGCCATGGACCCCTCTGCCTTTGCCACGCCCGGCATCGACACGGTTCCCGACGAAAACGCTCCCATGGAGAGGCACTCTCCCAGCCATAACTCAGTCGGAGACAGCACAAACGACGACTTTGGCTTATCCACGACAGGCCGCGCCGATGGAACTGATCTAGGCAAGAGCAAGGTCGACAAGGCCGAGACGCCTGCTTGGAGTGAGCTGAAAACAAAAGCGGGTAAGGATCGAAAGCGTCTGCCCCTCGCTTGCATCGCCTGCCGCCGCAAAAAGATTCGTTGTTCTGGCGAGAAGCCTTCCTGCAAGCATTGCTCCCGCTCCCGAATACCCTGCGTCTACAAGGTGACCAGCCGCAAGGCTGCGCCTCGCACCGACTATATGGCCATGCTTGATAAGCGACTCAAGCGTATGGAGGAACGCATCATCAAGATTGTCCCCAAATCCGAACAGGACAATCTTTCACCCGTCACTCGCGCCGTCGTCAAACCTGCAATACCTGGCACCAACGCCGCCAGCAAGGCCGCCGCCGCCAAGAAACGTCGCGCTGATGAAGCCTTCTCTCCAGAGCTTGAGTCCTGGGTAAATCCACCTTCAAAGTCCAAGATTGGCGGCGGTGACAGTCCTTTGATTGCCGCCGACTTGCAAGACAAGGAGGAGTCCAGGCTGCTGCGTGAGGGCATTGATGCTCTTCCTTCAAAGGAGCTTCAACAGCATCTCGCCGAGGTCTTTTTTGATAGCGTTTACGGACAGGCCTACCACCTGCTTCACAAGCCAAGCTTTATGCGAAAGCTAAAGTCAGTCTCACGAGTCGACCCTGAAGTTCATAACAATACTAACGTCTCACGCAGGAGCAATTCTCTTCCTCCGGTTCTGGTGCTATCCGTTTGCGCTGTGGCCGCTAGATTCTCGACTAATCCCAAACTTGAAATCTCAACGCGTCCATTCCTTCGAGGAGAGGAATGGGCCCAGACCGCCAGAGAGATTTGCATAAAACGCTACGAGTGGCCCAACATGACGATTTTGACATGTCTCCTCATCCTCGGGCTTCACGAATTCGGTACATGCCATGGAGGCCGCAGTTGGGCGCTCGGTGGCCAAGCCATTCGCATGGCTTATGCTCTGCAGCTGCACAAGGACCTTGACCACGATCCGCAGAGCAAAGGTCAAAAAGTCCCGCTCAGCTTTGTCGACCGAGAGATTCGGAGACGTATTATGTGGGCCTGCTTCCTCATGGACCGCTTTACGTCGTCCGGCACAGACCGACCCATGTTTATTTCTGACGACTCTCTCACCATTCCACTGCCTGTAAGCGAGCGCTGCTTTCAGCTAGACATGCCTGCTCAGACAGAACTCTTGGATGGCCGACCAGGGCCGCTAGCTGTAGAGGGCCAAGCGCCAGACACGGATCTGCGCAGCAACATGGGGCCATCTGCTTTCTTTATCCGTGGCCTTGCTCTATGGGGTCGTGTTGTCACTTACTACAACCACGGCGGCAAAGACCGTGAACAGTTTCCCCAGTGGGATGAGCGCTCACAGTACTCAAAGCTCGTGCGAGATGTCGAAGAACTACTCCGCACTCTGCCACCGCAATTGCAGAACTCCAAGGAAAACCTCGAGCTCCACATCACGGAGAGGACTGCTACGCAATACCTGTTCATGCATATGACCATACACCAGAGTCTGCTCTACGTTTGTCAAGCCGCCATGAGCAGCAACCAGTCCAACTCGGATGCGCCCAAGGATTTCATTCCTCGCCTGACGGCCAAGACATTCCATGCAGCCAACAGCATCTCCCAGTTGCTAAAGGACGCTGATGAGCGCCAGTGCTTCGTGACCGCACCCTTTGCGGGCTATTGTGCTTTTTCATCGTCGTCTGTGCAGATTTATGGTATGGTCTCTGGAAACCCAAAACTCAAGGCAGCTGCTGAAGTGCACCTTGCCATCAACATCACATACTTGAAAAAGATGATGAAATACTGGGGCATGTTCCACTGGATGGTTGACGACATTAGACGCCAATACAAGAATGCCTACGACGCCTCCCGTCGCCCTGGCATCAACGGTGCCGTGCAAAGCCGGCAGCCGTTGCTGCAGTACGCCGATTGGTTCAACCGCTACCCTTCTGGCGTGTCCAATGTTGATTGCATGGACCCAAATGTGCCGAGACGCGCTGAGGGAGGAGAGGATGCTGTATTGGAGCAGAAAGCAGAGCTGCACTCTGTTGGAGAGTTTCTGGAGAATCTTTCACCCGCTTCACATGCCGCGGACGGCAAGGACCCTAGCAAGACGCCTCTGCAAAAGAGGAAAACTGTGCCTCCCAAGAAGAACGCCGCAGGGCTCACACCTCCTGTCAAACTAGAGCACTCAACCCCCGAAGCCCGACACGCGTCAGTAGCGCCTACCCCTCGCCGAGTTTCGGACCAGTCTGGCGGTACCCCTCGCCTGCAAATGGATCAGCGCAAGTTTTCGAATCCGAGCAGTACGCAGCCTCCCATGCCGTTCAACGCGCACAGCATGCCTGCTCAGTCGCAGGCATACATGTCGAGCATGTCACCCATCAGCCCCAACAACATGGCTCCTTACCAGTCACAGCCACAGATGCCATTCTTTGCCGACATTGTGCCTTTGGGCATGGGGGCCCAAGACCCCGGGATCCCTCAGCAAATGTTTGGTATCGTGCCAGGTGGCATGAACGCGCCACCGCAGGACAACCCTAACGGATGGCAGGGCATGGCAAATGGTGGTCAGCACAATACACGCCCAACTCCAGCAGCAGTTCCCAAAGGAGGAGATGCCCCCATGCACCCGGCGAGACACCCTTCTCAGCAGCAGAATCCCATGACGGCACCAACAATGAACATTTTCAACTCTGCTCCCGATAGCTCGTGGTTCATGGGCTACGAAATGGAGCCGACTGAGATGAACCAAGACATGAGCATGACTGGCAACGGCATGGAAAACTTTGGCATGTTTCCGGGTAACAACAATGGCAATCCCGGAAACGGTGGCAGCATGCCCCAGCAGAACCACATGGGCGGTGGGCTGCAGCATGGCATGTGAAGCAACAAAAGCATACGTGTTCTCGTCCTTTATCAACAGGACGAGAGTAAATATCTTGACTCTTTAAATTATTCCCCTCTTGCTTTTTTTTTTGTTCTTGGAGCACCAGTTTTATCATTACACAGAGCATTACTGGCGGGTTTCTTGTGGCGATTTTGGGCTGGAGATTTGTGTTTACATTTATTTGGGCGTGGCTTTATGAGTTTTCTTGTTTTTCTCGAATTTCTTCCTGGCGTAGGTAGTCTTTCGCTGCTGCTGCTGCTGCTGCTCCTCCTCCCTGCCAACATCTTGTCCTATCTGGGCAGGCATGTGGGTGTTGGGAGTGTTGCCGCGTGAATGAGAAGAGGGTTGGGACGGATTTTCTGGTGTTTATTCTTTTGGGAGGTGGGCTCCCGTTATATACTAATGAAGTTACTTAAAGAAGAATCTAAAGAGGATGGAACTGTGATGGGGATTTGTCTCGGAGACTAGGATGGAATACGATGATGCAAATAAATACCACGAAGAAACCCCGTGTTTCTCTCATCTTGAATTTGGAATACGCAGAACACTGAGATTATTTTGTTTTTTTACTTGAGCTTCACTTGGTTGACAAAAACGGAGGAACAGTAGATTGAATTCTTAATGCGCTTTTGCAGATAAACCCTCCTGATTTTGACCGTCCATGTATGTACAAATGCTGCTCTAGCGAGAGCGACGCAGACGCCTATGAAAATGAAAGCTGTAAAATAAAAGACAAAAAAAGGTACACGGTGAAGAAGGAGAGTGCGCTTTTACGCCTCCACCTCGGCCGACTTTTTGCCCTTGGACCGCTTCCGCTTCTTCTTGGCCGGTTGCTCGCCGCCACCGGCACCCTCCTCCGTCTTCTCGCCCTTACCGCCGGCGCCCGCCGCCTTGCCCTTCTTGTCCTCCCTTGTCCTCCTCCGCTGCACCTGCTCCCCCTCCTCATGACCGCCGCCCTCCTTGTCCTCCTCCGCGTACCGCTCGAAGCCAAACGTCGGGCCCGTGCGCTCGTAGTCGCGGCCGAACGTGTCGGTGCGCCACTGGCGCAGCCGCGCCTTCTTGCCGAGACGCTTGCGGTCGCGCCGCTTCTTGTCCTCGTCGCGGAAGGCCGCGAGCTTCTTGAGGCCGGCGAACTCGTTGAGCGCGGCGTCGGAGGGGGCGAGCAGGATGTCGCGCGCGGTCATGCCGAACGCCTGTGGCGAGGTCTCGCGGTACCGGAACGGCTGCTGCTGCGGCTGGGCGGAGGAGCTGGAGGCGGCGTGGAGGAGCCGGTGCTCGGTGAGTTCCATCTTGGAGTCGACGAGGGCCTCGAGCTGGGCGCGCTCCTTCTTGGACTTCTTCTGGGCGGAGATGCGGTCTTTCTTGATGTCGGCTGTCTTGCGCTTCTTCTTGGCGGGCACGGCATCATCGTCCTCGTCCGCGGCCTCGTCTTCTGCTGCCTCCTCCTCTTCGACGTCGCTCAAGGCGAACTTAGCCTTGGCTTCTTCGTCCTCAAATTCGGGCACGATGTCGTTGATGTCGATGTCGTCGTCCCACTTCGGCTTCTTGGGCTTGCTCTTCCGAGATGACGACGCTGCTGCCGCCTCGTCGTCGGAAGCACCCGCGGCGGCGTCGTCCTCCACGGCGTAGTAGTCGTCGCCGAAGCGCTTCTGCATCTCCGCCTCCCAGTCATCGTTCTCCCACGCGCCGTCCAGGAAGCTCATCCACTCGGCGTCCGAGAGCTCCTGGCCGACGGCGCCGGCGGCGTGCCGGATCTTGCGCAGCTTCTGCTCGGCCTCCTCGAGCTTCAGTTTGCGCAGGCGCGCCTTCTCCTCGCTGCGCTCCTTCTTCTCGGCCTCCTTGCGCTCGCGCTCCAGCTCGCGCTGGCGCTTGCGACCGGTCACCTCCTCGCGGCGCACGGAGCGCGAGTTGGTAACGTCACGGGCGTACGACCGCAAAACCTCCTTGCTCTTTTCGGGGTCCTCGAAGCGCATGTTGTAGGCCTGCTCGAACTCGTCCGCGCCGTCGTCATCCTCGCCATCGTCAGACTCAAAGGCTTTCCACCGTCCACCTTCATCTTCAACCCAGGCTCTGGCAGCCATGAAGTTGGACAGGAAAGTCTCCGGGTCCTTCTGGGCATGTTCGACATCAACTCCGGAGATTTTGATCTTGGTCGCTCTAGAGGGGTGTACTCCGTTGGATGTCTTGGCTAGCGCATCTCCCGACTTTTTCTTAATCACAAACGCATCGTCCGAGTCCGAGCCGCTTCCCTCCTCCGCATCCTTTACTCCAGAAATGAAATCCTTCCTGGCTGTGTCTTGCTCTTGTTGATATGTTTGAGGCTGCTCGTCTTCATCATCCGCTCCAGTGTCTCCTCGCAGGAGTTTCTCTCGGTGGTAGTCGCGGAGATAGACGGGCTTCTCCTTTTTGTCCTTCTTGGTGTTGTCGGTCTCGTCGTCGGGTTTATAAAAGGTTTGGTTTTTGTCGTAGACTCGAGGATCCTTGTTTTTGATGGCTTGAAGAGTGGCGGAAATTTGAGCGTCAAGGTCTTCAGTTGCGAGGAAGCCGTTATCGTCTTCGCTTTCATCTTCGGAGGAATCTTCGTCATCCTCTTCGTCGTTCTTAAATTTCTCTTCCACTGCAGAGCGGCGTTAGTTTATGACTGCGCGCGTTCAATAGCCGAATAACATACGTCTTTGTCTTTCCTCTCTCTTTTTATTGTGTTCAAAGCGACGAGCGAACTCCTCGTTTACTTGAAAGCCAGACTCGACACCCCCGCCATTATCAGAATCGGAGTCGGAATCGTCAAGCAGCTTGCGCTTCGCCGTTTTAGGGTCCTTTGTAGGCGCCATTTGTGTCTAATAATATGCTCCGGAAATCCCAATTGCACGGCAAGCTTGCGCGCCGGGGCGTTTTGTTGCTGAATTTCAAGATGCTTGCTTAGTCTACCTAAGCAATCAGTCCACCGCTCTGGATTTTTTTGCTGTGGTTACTTTTTCTGCCGCTGGAAACTTTTTGGCGGGGCCGATCATGCAGGCTACGGCAATGGGCCAACTTTCCGCCGAAGTCCTAAACGGCAGCCTGGCCTTTTAGTTAAGTACCTGTGTAGGCAGTTGGCCCTGCCTCTGCCCCGCCACGGTGGCAGTGAGCTGTGGCTGGGCCTGACCAACTCCAGCCGCTTGCAGGACGCAGCACAGCGCAAAACACTCAGTCGTCATCGCTCCAGCCGCTACCATCATTTGCCTCTCGCAACATCCACAACTTCCGACGACGGGCTGCTTTTGCTATCGCTGTGCGTTCAGAATCGAAGATTGCAGCAGCTACTCCGAACATCGGTAGCTTTGGCTTTACACACACGCCTAGGCGACTACCGATACATCTGTCCGTCGGACTCCTGCCACGATGGCCGATACTGGGAACGGCCCGAAGCCTAGCAGCAGCGTCAAGCTGGTGCTTCTCGGCGAGGCGGCTGTTGGAAAGGTCACTACTACAGACATTCTCCTCTACCCGAGCCTGCCCGCTAATCATTCAACAGTCGTCTTTGGTCCTACGATTCGTCAACAACGATTTCCAGGAAAATAAAGAGCCCACTATCGGTGGTAAGTAGCAATGCTTTCACGGGTAAATCGACACACCTAACATCTTGAGCAGCGGCATTCCTGACCCAGAAATGCAACCTTCCCACGCGGACGATCAAGTTTGAGATTTGGGACACGGCCGGTCAGGAGCGCTTCGCTTCTCTCGCCCCCATGTATTACCGAAATGCCCAGGCTGCTTTGGTCGTCTACGACATCACGAAACCCACATCTCTTATCAAGGCCAAGCACTGGGTCGCTGAGCTGCAACGACAGGCCTCCCCCGGCATCGTTATTGCGCTCGTCGGCAACAAGCTCGATCTGGCCAGCGAATCTGCCAGCGGCGATAATGGCGACGACGGCGACGACTCGGGTGACGCACGCAAGGTGTCCACGGAAGAGGCCAAGTCCTATGCCGAAGAGGAGAGTCTGCTGTTTTTCGAGACTAGTGCCAAGACTGGCGTGAACGTGTCGGAGGTCTTCACAGCCATTGCCAACGCAATCCCGGAGACGTCTCTCAAGAGCGCCCGTGGCGCCGGTACCACCAACACGACCAGTCGTGCCGGAGAGGAACAGAGAGTCAACTTGGGAAACCCGCAGGAGGCCGGATCGAAAGATGGGTGTGCTTGTTAAGCAGTCGTATTTGTTCCAGCAAGCTTTGTTTCACGCCGTCCTTTGTTGCCCAGCTTTGTTCCTTGGCCAGACTATGATGCGTCAGCGCATGCTTTTGGAGTCGATTTATAATTTTACGGGATCATGAGTATAGTTAGTTGCGCTTTGTTTCCGTACTCGCCTTAGATGCTGAATCACTTAGCTCGGTACAGGAAGCCGACGTTTCCTCCAACATGGCTGCCTGAGGCCGATATTCGGAGTGCATGTAGCAGCGTTTCAGTGTGACGCTACGGTCCGAATACATGCAAGCTCAATGCATTGTGTGTGAATACGCGTAATACAACTATCCACGCCGAGCGGAGCATGTTTGTGACCAAGTTCTTGCTCCGAGATGAACTATTGGGACACAACAGCATGCGGTGTTCTTGTCAAACGTGGGGATGTGGGTTAATATTGATTTCAGAATGCTCAGGTAAACAATAGATTTTTTTTAACTGAAATGATGAGCGGAAGTCGAGCTCCTCCGTGGCCGTCCCTGTTTAAGCCTAGCAAAGCAACATCAACGAGACAAACGATGATCCTAGGTCAGCACGAAAGGAATAAACACACCACAGAAGCAACATTATCAAGATATTATCCATTCATCCTGTGCCTCACCGCTAGCCGCCTCCAAAGTGAGCAGAACTGCTTTCCGGCCTCGTACAAGTCGTGTAAGAGTGTAGCACGTGACTCGTGCGACCTGTTCGAAAACCATTCTTCAGCCATCCACTTATCGGCCCACTTTTACAGTGCGTACCGCGTCAAACTCGTCCAGGAAAATGAGATGCGTTTGCTGTCCAACCATCCATCGGGTTTCCCAAACCCAATTTTCAGTCAGCGCCGAACGATTGTTTCTGTATCACCAATCCCATGACTCTTTAAAAGAGAGCCGCTTCCCTACCTACATGGCTTCTCTGCCTTAGGTCTATTCTTACTCAAATCCCTTCTCCCTCAATATTATCATCTCCTTCACGGCGCAAAAGCCAGAACACCTTTCTGCAGCCTCTACTGATCGCACCGAGATGGCTTCGTCTATCACTGAGGCGCAGGCCGCGCTTATTTCGTATGCTCTACAGAAGGACAGATCCCATTCAGCGTGCTAACTTGCGATAGCTCCTTGACTCCCGATGACATTCCCCACAAACTGCGATGTGCAAACTGCAGCAAGCTTGCTGTCAATGCTTTCCGGCTACCCTGCTGTGAACAAGCGATATGTGAAACTTGTGAGTGTAAATAAGGCGCCTCTTTGTACCCAGAACGATGCTAACTTCTCAGGTCACTCGAGTCTCCCATCATCTTGTCCTGTTTGCGAACACTCGCCACTCTCCGCCGATGATTGCTCGCCGAACAAATCGCTTCGCACGACGATCAAGGTCTTTCTTCGCACCGCCGAGAAAAAGCGAGAGGCGAACAAGCCCAAGGACATTCCGGAGCCGACTCCCCAAACTTCGGTCGAGGCCACCCCAGCGCATGACTCCGGCGATGCCCAGCCTGCGGACGCTAACGGAGAGGCTACCAATGGAGCACCAGGAGCACAGGCTTTGGCTGTTACCGCTGTCGACTCCTCCACAGTACCCGCCCCCGGCGTGGTACAGGCTGACACAGAGGCAAGCGTGGATCATTACTTTCCCGTCCGGTATCCTATGCTAACCGACGCAGAATCAGCAGCAGCACGAAGTCTCTGGCGCTCAGCAAGAGGAGGCCAGCACTTCCAACCACTTGGAGGAAGCGAATGATGATGACGACAGCGACGAAGACTCGGACGACGATGTCATCATCACCACGAAGCGGCCGGAACAACCTCCTCAAGAAAATGAGGAGGTAGAAGAATATGTCGTGGAAGACGGTCAGGGTGATGATGGAAATGACCAGGGGCAGGCGCCACACGGAGACGGGTTCTCGAACCAAATGTTTCCGGGGGGTGGCGACTTTAACCAAATGCAGATGATGATGGCCATGCAGAACAACATGGGCTTCCCAATGATGGGTATGTCGAACTGGTCCGAACATATCAGGCTCGAGGCTAACAACGTTTATTAGGCATGAACCTGGACCCCATGACGCAGAACATGTTTATGAACGGGGGCTTTCAAGGCATGGGCATGAACGGCATGGGCGGATTTGGAGGCGGCTACGATAATAACTGGAACGGTTCTCAGTCATGGAATTTCGACCAGAATAATTTCAATCAAAATGGCGCTGGTGTGAACACTGGTGACTTTGGGAACTTTAACTCTGGCTACCAGACAGGCTACAATCAAGGTAACTATGGCCAATATAATAACTATCGCCAGCAAAATTATCGTGGCCGTGGCCGTGGCCGCGGATACTATGGAGGATACGGTCGTGGTGGTTTCCAGCAGGGCGGAGGCTACTATGGCCAAGGCCAGACGCAGCAAGGCCAGTATGACGCTTCTGCTCAGTCATTACAGCCGGCCAGCATACAAGGTGACGCCCAAATTGTGCATCAAGACAAACAGGATGGCCAGCCCGCCGACGTTCCCGTAAATGCTCCGACGGGTCCAAAGGCTATGCGTCAAGGTCTGCCCAACACCAGCCTGCACAATCTACGCGCAAGAGGCTATCAGGTTGGCGACTCCGCCACGGAAGGTTCTGGCGATGGCCAGAGCAGATCTCAGTTCGACGACGCTGAGCGCGACACCGATGCAGCTGACCACAGATCATCGCACGGCGACCATGGTCGCGACCAGTCCTTGCAACAGTCTCGAGCGACTAGTAGAGCGCAGAGTCGCAGTCGCAGCTGGGGAGATAGAAGCTCCCATCGACGAGCACGCGACCGCTCGCAGACTGTCGATGACCGACAAGACGACGACTCGTACAGCCGTAGTAGAAAGCACAGGGGGCGCAAACACTCCTCTCGGCATGACGACGAGGAGCTACGACGCGAGAAAGGCGGCGGTGAGCGCTCAAGGTCAGCCTCCCCCGAGGAAGGGAAGAAGTCGAGCCGCCACAGCCGTCGCGAGAGAGACTCGGACCGTCATCGCGACAAGGAAAGGCATCGCGATGACAAGCCCAGCCACAAATCACAAAGAGATCGAGATCGGGACCGTGACCGTGACCGTGATCACGACCACTCGCGGCGCAGAGAGAGGGATAAGGACCGCGACCGCGACCGTGACCGCGATCGTGACAGGGACCGCGACCGCGACCGTGACCGTCGCGACCGACATCGAGACCGCGACCGCGATAGGGACCGTGATAGAGATAAGGACCGTCGCGAGCGCAAAGACCGCCACAGAGACCGCGACCGAGACCGCGACCGGGAGGGCCGAGACGACGGGAAGCACTCGACTGACGGCGTCTCCACGCCCGCGGAGGCGAACAACGGCGGCGGCGGGAGCAGCGTGGCAGCGACGAAAGACCCGCACACGCTGGAGCGCGAGGCGCGCAACCGCGAGCGTCTACTGAAGGAGGCTCAGCGCATGGCCGGCCTCGGCGGCGGCGGCGGCGGCGGCAGCGGCGGCACGAAGCGCAGTCGCGGTGGTGGTAGCGGTGCCGGGGAGGACGGCACCGACAGCACGGGCAGTCGCAAGGGCCGACGCACCGCGGACGGAAGCCGGCGCAGCGACGCGGCGCCCGCGACGGACGGCGAGGGTGAGCGCGGGGGCGGCCGGCGATACGACTAGCAGTCGCTGTTGCTCGGTCGCGGGGGTCATTGGCCGCGGGGCGCGGTTCGATGAGGAATCGCCTAGCGCAGCGACGAGGGGTTTCTTTCCCTCTTTTTCTTTTTTTTTTCTAATTGTTGTATATATATGTATGGCTAGGATAAGGAAGCTACGGCACCTCTCGAGGGGGAGACGAAGACCATCTTGTCATCATGTCTTTGCATGTACACATAGGAAAAGTTGGTGTCTTTTTTTTTTTTTTTTTTCCCCTTCAAGGCAAACGTCGGGTATACGGGCCAGATTAGGGCGAAGAGAAATAGCGGACGCTTCATTCAAAAAATTAAACTTGATTCCTTTCTTTCTCACTTTTCCCGAAGCACTCTGGCCTCCTTATTCACAGCCCAAAGTGCAAAGGCCTCGCCAGAAACCTGCGGGTTATAATGGGAGAGGTGTGTAAATGGCACCTTCCAATCATGAGAATGTCCAAGAGGGAACTGCACACGGCAACATTGCCTGCGCTGTCTACCTCCTGCGAACTCGTCTCCAGTCTGTGTGGTATAAATGTATCTAATCTTCTCCTTTTTAAAGCCCGCCTCTCTATCCTGTTTCCATGGCCCCAATCCCGGCATCAATTCACATTGCCGCGTGTCCTTTTTTTTGTCCTTGTCACTTTTCGTTCTTCCATGTAGGTGGTGAATCACGCCCGCGCGCGCCTCCCGAGTTCTAACGATGAGATATCTTTCAAATCGGTCCTATACCCAAAAAGAAAAAAAGAGGAAAGTATGAAGTAGGGAATAGATTTACTGCGAAGAAGAAAAAGTTTTCATGCCATGCCGTCCGTATTCTTCAGTATATACCCTGTGTTCGGTATTGAAATGTATCATAGCTGTAATTCCCAGTCAGCACACACGAGTTCCACAGGCGGAGCGGACAAGGGTTTACGCACAGTCGTGTATAGTAGCTTCCAAAGGACTTTGCAATCAAGTCATTCTCGACAAACTGCTCGGCCTCGTCGGCGCTGAGGTGCAGCTGGAAGCGCTGTCGGAGGGCGCTTGTTGCCGAGGCCACGCCAACGGCGAAGCACGGCATCTTGGACTCTGCTCCCATCATGGCGACCAAGTCTATGATGTAGTCTGCAGATCGTCGGAGTGCTACAACGTCACAAACCAGCGTTAGCCATAATTCCCGTACTGTTTCCCCATCATATCCTGGGGCTCACCTTGAAACGCTTGCTTGCAGAGCTTCTTGTAGTCCTCATAGTCCGGCGACCCCAGACCACCAAGCACATCCACATACTCGTGCGTCAGCTTAAACGGCGCGGCCTCGAAACCCACGGCGCCCGGCGAGTTGGACAGCATGAAGCCAAAGTCAATGTGCACAATGTGGCCCTCGCTGTCGATGAGCACGTTGCCGTTGTGCCGGTCCTTGAGCTGCAGCACGTACGAGATGATGCTGTACGCGGCCAGCGAGCGCTTGAACGCGTCCACGCCCGCGCGGTGCGGGTTGCTCGCCTCGTCGCCAAAGGCTTTCCGGAAGTGGTCCTTGAGCGTCGCGATGCGCCGCCGCGGGTTCGCGCCGGACTCGACAGACGCCATCGTCAAGCTGCGCTTCAGCGAGTGCAGTGACACGCCGTTGGTGATGGTCTCGATCAAGCCCGACGACTCTCCTGTGACCAGGATCCGCATCAGCTTCACCCACACGTCCACTCCGGCATCCACCCATATCCGGTGACACACGTGGATCAGCTGGCACGCAAATGCCTCCTGCCGCAGGTCCGCGCCAGTCTTGACGATGACGCTCACCAGGTCCCAGTTCGGCATCCACCCGTACGGCGACGACCGGCGGATTCGCTCCTTCTTTGCCTCCCACGCCTCGCCGAACACGGCTGCGCTCGGGTCGTCCCGGTCGCCTCGTCGCTGCTGTACACCACCCGTCTTGAAGTCGTTCTCCATCCGCTCACGCCCCGCGCTCGCGTTGAGGTTCGTGTCCACGGGGGCGTCGTCGTTGAGGTCCGGGTTGCTGGCGGACGCGGCGGCAGCGGCGGCCGTGCTGGCTTTTGCCATGATCGTGTCGAAAGTAGGGCCCTGGTCGTCCGCATCGAAACTACGCTCCTCGAGTGTTTGCATCGACGCAATAATCTTGGCGCGGATGGCGGCGACCTCCTGTCGCGGTCGCTTTCCGCTTGTGGCGTCGAGCTGCGCCAGCATCTGCGATGCTGTGCGCATGTGTGTCGCGAGGGCGGAAAAGTCGGGCTGGTCGGTGGAGGCGTTGCGATTCATCTGTAACGTCATCTTGCGGCGCGAGCCGGGGCTGCTGGAGCGCGATCTTGATGCGCCCGAGGTTCGCGGTGTCGCAGCGTCGAGGGTGGTTGTGGAAGTCGTCGCGCCGCTCGATGTGCGCTGGTTGCCATACGGTTGCGGAGGCTTGGGCGTCGCGCGCGGCTGGCTCTCCTCGTCGAGCGACTTGATTAGATTGGAGCTGCTGAGATCTCCCGAGGTTGGTTCAAACACGCTATCCACGGCGGGCTCGGGCGGCGGCGTCGCCTGTGCCGATTTGGGAAGCTCGGACGACAGGTCAAATAAGCGCTTCGAGTTTCCGCGCACGCCAAACAGCTCGGGCAGTAGTCGCTGGTTGTCCGGCGTGTCTGGATCAAAGGTGAAGTCTTCTCTGAGCACCTCAACCATGAGTAGATACGGTACCTTCTCTGCGCTATTCAAGACGGTTGCTTCAGCCGGGTTCAGGCGCACGATGCGATGGTGTCGGCTCTTGCCCGGTGCGCCGTCCACCAATGTTGGCGGACAGATGACAGGGACGTCAATTTCGGCCGGCAAATCTCGCGCAATGAGGGCCAACTCTGCGCGGAGGGCGCTCATGCGAGCCTGCTTCGGTACTATGACGAGACGGTTGGATATGTCCTCGAGCGCCTGTAGGAACTGCGTCTGAGATCTGAAGTAATGCTGTCGTAGCAGTCGCGTCTTCTGTATCGTGGTTAAATCGCTGACAGCCTTGGCATTCTTGGTGTGGTGCGAGTGTCTGCGGAAAAGGCTATCGGCGTGACTGCGCGGCGCAAGGCCAGCGGTCAGTGGCGGGGTCTCTGGCCTCGTCGTCTGTGGTGGCGAAGGCAAGGGGAGCGATGCTGAGCTTGACATGGCCTCGGTCTGCGTCATGTCCAGCGTGGGCGGCCGCTTCATCTCCTTCTGTAGCTTCGATTTGGGGGATGCCGTGATCGCTTGGCCGATGGCTTTGGCCGCGACGGCGCGACTGGGCGAGGAGTGTTTCGCGGCGATTGCGCTCGCGCCGCGGCTGTCCTTGGTGCGTTTAGGTCTCGCGTTGAGAGCGGCGGTAGTCTGCGGTTTACTCGGCTTCGTGCTATCGGCTGCTTCGGTTGACGCAGCATCGGTTATGGGCTGCGGCTTGCGGGCTTGCGCGACGGCGAGGGGGCCGGCCCATTTGGGCATCATGGGCAGGGCGACGCTGGCGAGGACGAAGCTCGAGAGCACGGTGACGGGGAGGATATTTTCCTTGATCTTTTCGTGGCGGCCAACGTCGTTGAGGCCAAAGACAATGTGCTGCACCTTATTATAGACTCGACGACACGTTTGGAAGGCTGTGGACTGGGGGTTTGAGGACAGATCGTGGAGGTAAGTTTGGAAGAGCCAAAAGGTCTGGACGGGTCAGCGATGGGGGTGGAGAAAGTTGAGGAGAGTCGAGGGCGCGTAGCATACAAGCAAAGCCGCCGTGACGGACTCCTCGCAGAGGTCGAGGAGAAACTCCTCGAGCGCCATGGACTCATTGTCGACGCTGACGATGAGATGGCACAGCTGCGGGAGGAAGAACTCAATGTCCTCGTAGGGGAACTGGCGCAGCTTGTTGCAGAGGACGTAGTGGATTCCTACATGGTCTGCATATCGACTATCGCGAAGCAAGCAGCCAAGCATCGTCAATGTCAGTCAAGAGTTGAGAAAAAGGGCGAAGGATGGTTGCGCGCGGGGGACGCTGTGCCAGTCCGGACACGTTGCGGGAACCCACGGAGGGCGGTGTGTGTGTGCGGCGGCGTTGAGCTTACGACAGGTATGATACGGGGAGGAAGGGGTTCGAGTTGAAGACATCAGAGTCAAAGAACCGCTGCAGCAGCTCCCACGACATTGGAGCGCCGTTGGTGTCGTTGAGGCGGGAGGGGGGTTGTGCGTGCCAGCAGGGCGGCGAAGGGTGGGCGGACGGGGGTAGACGTCGGGGAGACCGGGAGGGAGCGCGGCCTCATTTAATCGAGTTGCAGATGATGAGCTGCCTGTTGTTCTTCTGGTCTCGTTGGTGTTTGGGGGAGGCGTTGATGAAGCTGTCGTGGAGAGCTCGGGGGATCGGAATGGTTCGAGGAAAGGGTTGTCGGGAGGGATGGATGAACGGGATTGGTGGTGGTGCAATAGTAGAGGTCCTGTCCGCATAGGTAGGTACATAGGTAGGTAGGTAGGTACTGTAGGTAGGTGAGTAATAAGGTACCTCCCAATTACCAGTAGTAGACTACTAATAAATCGACGCGGGCTCGCATTTCGTTGGAGGAGGGTGTGGAGGTGCTTCTTTGGCGTTGGTTGTTGACTTGGGCGTACCGAAAAGGACAATTCAATTGCACTCTTAAATTTGTTTGTTTTTTGCACATGCATACCTCCTCGCAGGCTTCCTCGTAGGGCTGCCCCTGGCAGATGCCACAGCTGCCCTGGATGGTATCAGTGCTGCTGCACGAGGCTCTCTACTTGATACAGTCGGCCTCAAGCACCAAGCATCAAGGTACCGTGGCTTTCAGCAGCTGCGGCCGACCGGCAAAGGCCAAGCCATCCATGCAAACCATGCGAAATGATTGACAAGTTGAACTTGTTCATACCGCCCAGCTTGTCACCCAATCCGGTCCTCCTTTGCTCCTGTCTCGCCTGATTAATGCGCCGGCATCTTTTTGTCGCGGGCCGCTGCGTTGGCCGCGCCATTGGCCTACACTCACCCACATGTGTCTGTGTTGAGTCGTGCCGTGACGAGATGCTGCCTCTCCCTTTTTTTTTCTTTTTTTTTTTCCTTTTTTTTTCTTCTTGTAAAAATGAATCTCGGGGTAATAAGTCAAGCCATTCACTCGGGACTTGGTTTCGCCCAGTTAATAAACCCGTGCAAAGCCGCACGTCGACCGCATCAGCCTCCTTCACTGTACTAATACCGCCCACTGCCACCACACACGCAACACGATCCCAGACATGCACTGCAAAGACAAACTATTTGAGCTGGACGCGGTACATACCAGCACCTCAAAATATCCTTTCAATTAAAACTCAAGTTACTGCAACCAAATTAATTCAATATCCATGACCAACAGCAATCCGCCTCATCCCGTGATAGTGATGCTTTTCTTTTGACAAGACGCGATACCGTTCTTTCAGCCCGCCCCAATACCCCTAAACCCATGCAACGCCGTTGTATATGTTAATCAGTTGGAGAACGCCCGCCCTGTAGTTTTTTCGTGGCTTCGTCAAGCTCGCGTTTCGAGATGTGGGAGAAACAGACGGATAATAAAATGAAGGAGAAAAAGCAAAGGAGCCAGGTGGCGGGGGGTAGGCAGGCAAGCTACTAGCAAGCTTTTTTCTTCCGTCCCGCACCTCGCTCGCCGCGTCTCCTCTTGGGCTGCTCGTCTTCCGAGTCGCTCTCGGCCTTGGGTTTAGGTTCCTTCTTGACCGTTTCCTTTTCATTTTCGACGCGGCTCACAATATCGCGCAGGAAGTCCCACTGCTCGTCCGACTCGACCACCTGCTTGAGCATGGACGCGGTGACGCGCCTGGACCCCTTGTCCTTGGCCACCTCGGCGCTTCTGGAGACGAGCTGGATCATGAAGAGCTCCAGGGCCTTGCCGACGGCGATGGGTGTCTGCTGCGCGACCTTGCCGACCTCCTCGTCGGCTTGCATGATTCGCTTGATGCGGGCTGTCGGGAACTTGGTCTTGACCATGGACGAGTCGATGATGGGGGGCGCGGGTGGTGACGGCTCCTTGGCCGCCTTGCGGGGAGGCATCCTTTTTGTTTCGGGCTCAGCGGCGGGCCGCTGCGGCTGCTTCTGGCTCCGAGTCTGAGGGTACGGGTCGCCAAACGCGGTCGGGACGACGGGAAGCTGGCCGGGGTCTTGCCGATGGGTCTCTGGGCCGTACGAAGGCTGGTCACCCAACGTCTGCGAAAAAGAATGTTGCTGTTGCAGCCGGGTTGGCGGGAGGTACGAGTCGCTGCCCACGCCGTAGCCGCCGTGCTTGAAGCTAGTCGAGGTTGGGGGAACGTAGGACGAGGTGTAGCCAAAGGAGGGGGACTGAAATTGCTGGCTGTGACTTGAGGGTCCGAGATCGAGCGGTGGTGCTTGGTCGCTCGGGCCGGAAAAGAAGGAAGAGAAGTCGGGGGATTTGGGAGCGTAAGAAGTATCGTCGCCAGACATGCTGGACAGTTGATCAGAAATTTGGGCGGTGGGCCTTGAAATAGAGCGGGCCGGGGGCAGGGGGCTGGAGGCTTGCCAGTTGCTCTGACGAGGCTGCCTGCACAGGTAGTCCAATGGGTGCCTAGCCTTGGACTTGATTAAATGTTTTTTTTCTTCTTGTTCTTTTTTTTTTCTTTTCTTCTTCTTCTTCTTCTTCTTCTTCTTCTTCTTCTTCTTCTTCTTCTTTTTCTTTTTTTTTTTGCTTTGCGCGGGCAAGGATGCGACTTGGTATTCCCCGCAAGCCGGAGCTGTGTGCGTGCTGTAGGTAGTGGTACCAGTTGGTAAAGCTGTGGTGGAGCAGATTCGCAGGCGGTTATCCGTACAGTTAGTTGTCGCAAAGCGGAATGCGACAGCTGGAACAGGACGAGTCGTCCGTCAAACAAACGACGGGTGGCCGACTTGTTCAGACAAATGGGTTGGCTTTCTTTTTCGCTTGGCAGTTTGTTCTTCGGGTCGGTTGCGCGCGCGCGACGGAGCTTTGTGCTGATGCGGGCGGCGGGCAGGGAGGCAGGCCGGCGCAATGGCGGGGCACAGCCGTGTTAGGTGCGAGGTGTGTAAGTAAGTAGGGGTGCCCGCGGTCGTTCAAGAGAGCGACAGGGCTGCAGAGTAGAGGGCGCGTCGGGGTAGCAGATGCATGAGGTAGGATACGTAGGCGTATCCTTTGTTGAATTGTCCGCGGACGATGGCGACGAGGATGATGCGGGTTGCGACGACGATTGTGGACAGACGAAGCTTCGGGCAGGTGGGTTCCAAGGTGCGCGCGCCAGGTTGTTGATGAGGGGATAATCGAATAGTTTGGTAATCGCTTGGAATGGTGTATTCTTTAATACGCGTCGGAAAAGTAATGCGCAAAAGATGAAGAGCCAAGCGGGCAGGGAGAGGCGGGACGAGTATTTATTAGTCGTTGCTGCATGCAGGGAGTCAGTCAGTCAGTCGGCGCCTGTTGGTCTGCTGTGCTGTGCTGTGCTGTGCTGTGCTGTGCTGTGCTGTATGCTGTGCTGTGCTGTGTGCTGTGCTGTGCTGTGTTGTGCTGTGTCCTGTGTCCTGTCCTGTGTGTGGCTGTTTGTCACTTGTCAGTCCAAGTCCAGGCAAATGGGAGGAGGGGCCTCTCGTTTATATGCACGTCGCTGGCTGACAATGTGGCTGATGGCGCAGCTCCCGCGGCCAGATCGCCAGCAAGCTACCAAGGCAGCCGTGTTATTAGGTTATTAGACCGGCTACCTATGGGTACTTGATTTCTTTATGCACGTAGCATTTTAGTTGCCGTATCTAGGAGGTACTGTAACTAGTTAGTTAACGGGTTAGTTGGATTCAAGTTAGGAACGCACGGGGTGGGTTGGAGCTCGGGAGGTTTGTCAAGCATGCACCAGGCTAAGAATAGTTGGTGCGTCCATTCCCGATCCAGCGCCCGCCAATTTCTTTGACTTACACTGACTGACACACAGTATTCGAGTCACTTGGGTGACGGCATGGTCTTGTTTATCTTGCTTGTATTTCCTGTATTTCTATTATTTCTTGATTTCTTCTTGATATCATCCTTCTCGTGTTTCTTATGTTGCTGGAAGTCTCGATAGCGGCAGGGCTCCTTATCCTCACCCCCTCATGCCCGCTGGTCGTGAGCTATTTCAGCATCCATTTCCTTGGCTGCAGTCATGTCTTTAGGTTGGTGAACCTATATAAGCAAAGACCAGCCAAAGTCTACTGTGTACCTGCATAAGTGTTGAAAGGCCATCCAGCCCGACCTGCCTTGCTGCCTGGCCCTCACCACATTGGGTATCAACTAGTTAATGACTTAGTAGTAAGCCAGGCTTGAATACCTGGGAGACCTTCAACACCACAGTAACTATTCACGTACCCGTGCTTAGACCCTTTCTGCAGTCTATGTAGATTATTGAATTTAGGTGATATCAACGTATATTTTATGGAATAAAGCTGTCGTGATAGGCAAGAATTTCTTTTGATCCATCGACAATGAATGAGAAAGAATCTATTGAAGCCTGTTACTGTGTGCAGCACCAAACCACCTTTGTGGCAGTGGGTCCCAGTGGTCGAAGCAAACACAGATATCTGCGGCAGCCACTTTCAACCTTCATCTTTCCATCCTTCAACCCACAACCTACATCATCCACCAGCAACGAGCAATCCTCCCATCGACGATAAAAGCACCAAATCAGTACTACTCCCTGAAGCTTATAGAAAGAACCCTTTCATTCTGGCGTCTGCAACCCCAGATCCCCGTCGCGCCACTCCTTGTACGTCTACCACGTCGCACGCAAACATGCACACAAACAACCATCCTTGTGAACCCAAAAATGATGTCAACAATTCATGAGCTTTATAAACTTGCCGAGACGTGCGCCGCGACGAAGAAGCCGACTCTGCAAATTCACAGCAGACTCTGGTTCCCGACTCGCACACAACGGCCACGTCCGTGAGCGCCTACTTGATCTAATCTGATTTCCCCCTCTGTCAATCAGTCCGACACCGCCACCTGCCCTACGCCAACGCGTTTCTAATCTCCTTCACTATAGACCGGATTCCCTGCACGCGCCTCTCGTTTCTCGTGCAGAACTGGAGCGAAATCACCGGCCACACGTGCACGCCGCCCTTGTCCACCAGCACCCGCACCGGTACTCCTCGCGCCTCCTGGTGCCGGATCAGGGTCTTGATGTCATCCCTCAGACCCTCCTCCTCGCCATACGTCACAACATACCCCCGCTCCGGCCGTGCCGCATTCCAGATGCCCTCGTCCTGACAGCTTCCCGGCGACGCAGGCGACGCGTACGCACCCACGCCGCCGCCGCCCGTGTACATGTCGGCGAAGCGCGCGAGCGTATCCGGCTGGATATAGTCAAGCGACGACGCCCGGTGCAGGTGCGTTTTGAGCGTCACCCATGGTGAGATGAGCAGCGCGAGGTCCGGGTGCCGCAGGGGCTCGTCGCGCAGCCGCCGCGCCGCCAGGTCCTGCAGCAGCGTCAGCGTAAGCATCCCGCCCGCCGAGTCGCCCCCGACGCAGATCTTGGTTTCGGCATCAGCCGCCGCCAGCACCTCCTTGTACGCAAGCACCGCCTCGTTGAGCTGCCCCGGGAAGTGCTTGTCAGGTGCCAGCGTGTAGTCGAGGCTGAAGACGGCCGGATTCTCGTAGCCCGCCTCGAGCAGGCTGCTCTGCAACGCCAGCTGGAACTCGAGGTAAAACTTGGCCGAGAGCACAGCGTAGCCGCCACCTATTGCGATTGCCTTGTCAGCACAGCCATGGCTTTTTGTCGTCTCGAGGGGCTCGTCTTTGCATACCGTGCATGTACAAGAGGATGATATCGTGCCTCTTGGTCTTATCATGCCTAACCCAGATGCCCTCTGTTCTCTCGGGTCCCTAGCCATCCTTTGTCAATCCGAGTGTCTTCCGTAGCCAGATGTAACTTTGCTCTCACCTCTTCCAGGACCTTTTCCTGCACCTCCTCGTCGTACTTGGCGTAGCCGTTGCGGTACGCGCGCCACTTGACGATGTGCGCCGCCGAAGCCGGCCCCGTGATGGCGCGCAGAACGCGCGGGTGCAGGCTCGCGGCGGACCATCGCAGCAGCCGCAAGGCGAAGTCCTCGGACACGTTGGCCTGCTGCACGTACAGGGGTTGGTTTTTGCGAGCCGTCAGGTACCGTGTCCAGACGAGCTGGAGTGTGGCTTTGGGGACTGCGTAGGTGAAACGTGGGAGTCAGGATGGGATTGGCAACTGGGGTGGTAGGTAGCGCAGTGGACGAACGCACAGAAGATGAAAAGTAACTTCAGGAGCGCGATTGTTCCTCGTATTGGGCCGGCTTGCCGAATCACCTGCGGCGTGATGATGCCGACGGTCACGGCGTGGTCCAGTAGTGAGTGCGGCTCGAAGATCATGGTTAACGCATCGAATGTGTGAAGGTGTCTCGTCAGAATAGTAAATTATACTGATTCGTTCAATTCACGAAGGAAGAGTAAAGCTGGCAAAAAAAAATATACATGCAGACATGGGGTAAATGGTGAAGTTGTATAAAGGACAACTTATAGCCGGGCCTGAGCGCCGTTGCCGAGGCGGAGCTCCGTCGCAGGCAAGTTTCCCCGTCGGACCTGATTTGAGCGTGAACTGCGGCGTGTTGACGCTCAGCAACGCCGTGAAATCGAATTCAAGATGACCATCAGCACAGGACGTCTTTGAATTGGGGCAATTTTGGTCCTCTCAGAGAATCAGGTGAGCTGCTGTTTACGTTCCAACGGATAAGTCTACTGCAACAACGCTTTGCCGCCCGTGAAGTCGGGGCTGAGCCATGGTGACGAGTTGCCGAATATCAGTCACTTCATAAACAGAGATAGGTGACTGCCTTCTGAGCTGTTGTTGTGGGCATTTCTGTCTTGCATGATACTTGCACGCGCTCCGCAGCTTTCAAAGACGGCGGTCCATAGCTCCAACCGCCATAGGCACGTGAAGTCGTCTAGATACCAAATTGCGCGATCGTCAGGTCGACTTGAGTAACTTAGATGGACCGCACATCATCAAGGCAAAGGAAAAGTACCGTAATGCACCGAATCGGACTTTAATCCGTGTACAGTGACTGAATATACTATACAGTCCGGACTTTCGTCCCTCGAACGGCGAATTCTTTGGCTGTCACAGGATGCAGGGTAAGCCGCGCCGTTAATGGGCAATCATGTGTTAACCTAGCTGCGCGTCAGGTCGACTTAGGTAACTAGTAGATAGACCGCACGTCATCAAGGCAAAGTAAAATCATCGTAATGCACCGAATCGGACTTTAATCCGTGTATACTGACTAAATATGCTATAAAGTCCGAACTTTCGTCCCTCGAACGGCGAATTCTTTGGCTGTCACAGGATGCAGGGTAAGCCGCGCCGTTTTAATGGGCAATCAAGTGTCAATCTGGCTGCGCGTTAATTGGGGTTCAATGCCTATCGCTGTGCAGCTTTATAAACTATTCAAGTTATTGAGCAAGCATCTCGCTCATTTTACTTTTTTTTTCTAATTAAATCTGTTAAGCAAACGCGTTCATGTCGGTCAATATCACTGATGGCGACTTACACGCCGTCTCCATTGGCTTGTCGCGACTTTATTCAGAGGTATCCGGCTATAAGTTCTGTCGGTCTGGATGACTTTCGAATAAATAATATTCTTCTGGTTCCAGGAGTCATGTCTTGCTTTTTTGTATATTTATCCCTAGCCCTCAAAATCGTTTCCTCGACGACGCTGCCTCGTCCAAAAAATGGGGACCGGCGTTTACTAGAACACGCGACTTGGCGCGAGAATGCTGGCACGAGTCTTTGTTTTTTGCATCAACTTGTGCATCCAGCTTTTGAGCAGCACCTCGGAAGCTCAGGCTCTCGATATCAGGACCTGAGGTGCCTGGCAAGCTTGTGCAACCTGACAGCCTTGCCCCAGCTCACCACCAGCCTCGCTGCCCCTCACCGACTTCACCCCGCCATCTACACCCCGCCAACGCAAACGCCGAAAAATGGGCGACGACAGCATCAGCGCGGCAGAGGCCGCCGTGCCCTCCAACCCGGCCTTTAACCTCACCAAGCTCGACAATTGGATCCTAAACCAGACGGACGAGACCTTCCAGATGCACGACTGGGAGGACCTCAAGAGGATCATCGGTAGGCCCATGCCCTCCCAGGTCCGCGTGAACAGCAACAAACGGCTGACCCTGACAACAGAATCCAACCGGCTGGAAGACTTCCGGCGCACACCCACGGAGCTCCGCCGGTACCTCGAGTGGACCGCCGGCATCAAGGAGCAGTACGGCTCCATCACCGAGTACCTCATGACGCGGCGTCTGCCGCGCGCCTGGGGCCGCCCGCCGTTCACGCCCGAGTCGGTCGTGCCGCTGGCCGCCGCCTCGGACTACGCGATCCTGCTCAACGACTGGCCGTACGCGCTGGCGCCGGGCATCACCCACGTCATCGTCTGGACGCGCACGCGCATCCCCGCCGACGACGACAAGGGGGATCTGCTGCCAGAGAGTAGGCGAATCATTGGCGAGTTCGTGAAGCGCACGTTTGTGGACGAGCTGGGGCCCGGGGGTGAGGATCGGGTGCTGTGGTTCAAGAACTGGGTGGCGCTGCAGAGTGTGCGCGCGCTGGAGCACTTTCACGTCCTGGTCAGGGACGTCGATCACGACACGTTGGAGAGGTGGACGGGCGAGCGGCCCAAGACGAAGAGACCCTGGGAGGAGTAACAGGGTGCACGGGATGAATGCATGACTTTCTATATAAAGGTGGATAGATAAGGCCTGAATGCTTGGTAATATACAATGGGACAAGCGACCTCCCGCAGCAAGTCTCCTTACGCTGCTCGACGCTGTCTGCGATTTCCCTGAGCGCCCGCCGCCGCTGCCTCGGGCTGCTGTCCCTGCCCCTGCATCTGCGCCAGCTGCGAGCGGCCCCAGCCCAGCAGGCCCGACGCCATGTACAGCCCGTATGCGGGCACCACCGCCCAGAGCGCCCATCCCCACGGCCCGAAGAGCGCCGCGAGCACGGCGGCCGCCCACGTCACCCACACGACGTCGAACATGTACTCGGTGAGCCCGGCGGCGGCCAGGTCCTCGCCGGCCGAGCGGAGCGCTCCCGTGGCGGGGTCGTGGCGTGGCCGGCCGGAGCGCTCCAGGACGTACTCGCACGCGAAGGCGGGCGCGGACAGCACGCCGTGGAGGAGGAGGGAGCGCGGGCGCCACAGGAAGTGCGAGGCGAGGACGAGAAGGTTGACGATGGCGGAGCCGGTATGCAGGTTCTTGAGGGCGGCGGCGTTGGCCTTGGCGCGGTCCTTCTTGGCCTTTTGCGCCATCGTGGTATGTGTGTGTGTGTGTGTGTAGGCGGTTGCGTTGGAGTGGTGGGAGGTCAAGACGCTCGCGTGGACGATGGCCTCGTGTGGACTGTTTGCGGTGCTGAGTGGGTGCGCTGCGGCTGACTAAAATGGAATGGAAACGTTGTGATTTGCGTCAATGGAACGTTAAAGGAGCGCGGGACTTCTCTTTCGGCGGCGCAAAGTGTAGGATCGGTTGGTGGGAGAAATGACTTGCAGGTTGCAAGCAGAAAGACAATTTGGTGTTGGAGATGGAATGGCTGGGATCAGGTGTAGTGGGGCGGTGGTTGGCAGCTGCCAGGTGGCAAAGACAGAGCTCTACCTATGTACATACATAGGTACTTACTGCTGTGAGAAAGTTCGTAACCAAGAGTTTGCTTGAGCAACCCTACGGGACTATAATAAAGTTTTATTAAAACAAACATGCTCAATTGCGTGGTTTCTCCAAAGTGATACTAATTGTTGATAGTCAAGAGAATGGTCTTACTACCTTTGAACCAGGGGGCGAGGGACTGCCTGATAGACGACACCAGCCACCGCAAAGCCTCACCAATGTCCGCATGCGGACCCCCTGCGTTCACTGTAAGCCCCCTTGCGCAGTGGTGTGGCGGCCTTCTGGTGCCTGGTTGCCTGTGAGTGCCTACCGCTGAGGAGCAACACAGGGCCCTTGTGTGGCGATTTCTAGCTAGAATGACCAGAGGCCCACCACAGCTTTGTGGCCTGTTGCTGGGCACACAGCCAGCCCACCTGCTGTCTGGCCAATCAAGCTCCCGCAGCTCAGAAAACACTGAGCGCGCAGCCGCCAACCCATCCTTCCCTGGATGCTGCTCATCTTGACCTCTCCCGCTGCCCTTTCTTCCTTTTTGTTGTTGATAGAAACGGCAATCTTGCTGGTCTCTCTTCCCCAGACGTCTAGCTGTCCTCGTGTGCCATGATTGGCAGGCTCCTTTGACACTGCATTGTTCCCCAGCAGCCTGCCGACTCTTCCTCTTCTTGTTCGCCGTCGTCTGTTTGTTTGCTCCGGTGCCCTGTCCGCGTGCAGTTCACGACCGACGACAACCGCCGAACACTTTCCCTTGGCCTCGCTCTCTATCCCCACCCTCTTCTCGAATCGACGCCGCTTAACTCGAAAACGACTATTTCTTCTCAAAAGAAAGAAGTATCCGGTCTTTTAATTCTCCCAACGCTGGCGCTTGCCTCGACCTTCTCACCACAGCTGTGTTATTTTGTTGCCGTTTCGCGCCCCGCACCCGCTTCCAAGTCAACAACGCAGCGCTTCAGCTCCTGGTCTGCGGCGTTGCCATTCAATACTCGAAAGACCATCCCGAGCCGACCGAATTATTATTAGCTCTGGTCGAAGCAATCCTTTTCACGTACGCGCTCAGGTGCCGTTACTTTTGCTGTCCCCGTCGAAAGCCGAAGCACCAGCTCCTGAAAACGCCTTACAACTCTATCCATGGCCCGGGCACGACGGTAATCTAGTCTGTTGCATTTGATTTGTGGTGACTTGCGCTCCTCAGACAAGATACCTTTGAAATGGCGCCCAGCCCGACGGCCGTCTCTGGCTTGTTCCGCCAAGTGATCCAGTATCACCTCGACAACGCTTCATACGACAATGCGCTCTTCTTTGCCGAACGATTCGTGGCCCAGGATCCGCGCTCGAGCGATGCAACTCATCTCTATGCTCTATGCCACTTGCGGCTAGGAGACTATCGCTCCGCCTACGATGTCGGGAAGCCGATGGGATACCGTGGTACGAATTTGGGATGCGCCTGGGTATTTGCGCAAGCATGCCTGGCATTGGAACGATTTAAAGACGGCATCACGGCGCTTGAAAAAGCCAAGTTCCTGTGGTCTCCCAAGGGGAGCTTGGGAAAGAGCGGCGCTCTGTTACGCGCAAGCGGCTCTCCCGACGCAGCTGCCGTGCTGTGTTTGCTTGGCAAGCTATACCGCGGCTATGACGACCAGAAGAAAGCAGCCGGTGCTTTCGAGGAGGCTCTCAAGCTGAACCCTTTTCAGTGGGATGCGTTCACAGCACTCTGCGACATGGGTGTCAATGTTCGCGTTCCCAATGTCTTTCGATCCTCGGAGCTGCTTGCTCGTAGCTTCGACACCGAGTCGAGCGCAGCTACAAAAACACCAGCTTCCGTGGCCAACTCCAATGCGCTCGAAATGGCACCCAAGAAATCGTCGTTACGGAGTCTCACATCCGACATCGGGTCCGATCCATTCAATGTCGGCTTTTCTTTGTCTGAATCGACGAGCCCCCTTGCCGATGTCTTTTCAGAATCTATAGAGGGCGATTTGATGACGAAGATCCAGAGCGCGCGACTGCGCCTCGGGACATCAAACAGTAACATGTCCGTCTTTGACATAACAGAAACACCGCCTGGGCCTACTGCTGTAGATGCATCCAGCAGAATCGTTGGCGGACACGAACCTCCCCAAGCACCATCTCGACGGGCGCGCCAGGCTCAAGCCATAGATGCCAGCCTAGAAGCCCCGCCACGCATGAACTATCGAATAGGTGCAAAAAGAAATGCACGGTCGGAAGACCGAGACGTTCAAGCTGTAGAGCCCATATCGGACCCTCCAGTCATAGCTGCTGGCACCACGCGAGCGGCAGCTCTGTCAACGGCGGATAGAAAACGAACACTGTCCGGGCATCCCGTTTCACGCACAGCTAACCTTGATGACGGTGGTACGAGAAGAAGCGCACGACTTACTACGTTTAAGCCGTCGTCGAGGGCCAACTCTGGCGCGGCCACCATCGGAGCTTCCGCCGGTCGTGAGCTCAAGAAGGCAAGGCCTCCCATTTCCCGAATTGTTCGACCTGGGTCCAGTGGCGCCAATGTTGGGCGCGTAGTCAGCGGCAACCGAAAGCCGATTGACGATCACGCTGATATGGACCATGGCGAGGCGTCACGCGTGCGCGAGCCCGCAGCCTCGTCACACGCTGTAACGCAGCCGCCTCAAGCGCCCAAACAAGTGGACGACGGAGTGAAAATGGAAGAAGCTGTTCGATGGATAATGGACGTGCTGAAGAAACTGGGCAACGGCTACTACTTCCTGTCGAGATTCCAGTGTCAAGAAGCACTGCAAGCTCTAAGTTCTTTGCCACCCGCTCATCAGGGATCACCGTGGGTGCTTGTTCAAATGGGCCGCGCGCACTACGAGCAAGCCTCGTATGCGGAAGCTGAAAAGTTCTTCAGACGTATGCGCGTACAAGCGCCTTCAAGACTCCAGGACATGGAAGTGTACTCGACTATCCTGTGGCATCTCAAGAGAGAGACTGACTTGTCATTCCTGGCACACGAACTTGTTGATTCAGCGTGGCACTCTCCACAAGCTTGGTGCGCTCTGGGAAATGCTTGGTCTTTGGCCAAGGATCCCGAGCAAGCCTTGAAATGCTTCAAGAGGGCGACACAACTGGACCCCAAGTTTGCCTACGCCTTTACACTACAAGGGCACGAACACGTTACCAACGAAGAATACGAACAGGCATTGACTGCGTATCGGCAAGCCATTTCTGCGGATAAACGCCATTACAACGCATATTACGGCATTGGCCGGGTACAGGAGCGTCTCGGCGACTACGAAAAGGCGCTGACGCATTTTCAAGCTGCGCAATCCATCAACCCGAACAATGCGGTACTCGTGTCTTGGATCGGAACTGTATTGGAAAAGCAAAAACAGATCTTGCCTGCGCTCAAGGCGTACACAAAGGCTGTGGAGCTCGCTCCTCGAGCAGCCTTGACGAGATACAAGAAAGCGCATGCGCTTTTGGCCATTGGTCACATTGAGGAGGCTGAGAAGGAATTGGTGTTTCTCAAAGACCTGGCACCAAATGAGGGGCATGTCCACTTCCTGCTCGGGACATTGTATAGGAGCATGAATGAGCGGCAACTGGCAGTCCGCCACTTTACCATTGCATTGGCGTTGGATCCCAAGGTAAAGTGCCGCGAAGATGCAGTTTTAGAGCTTGTTGACTGACCAGTTAGCAGGCTGGCCCGATGATTAAGGAAGCGATTGAACGCTTTGAAGATGACATGCCCGTGGATGACTCTATGATGACATGACGTCAAGAGAAATGAGTTTTTGCATTTGGCATTTCTTTACAAAAGCGGCCCTTTCCTGTTCATCCTGACCTCATCTGCAAGCGCTACATATCATGGGATCGAGCTTGAATGGGTGGATGATACGTCTGGAGCAAGGGGAGGAGAGGCAAAAGGACAGCAGTGTACAGCACTGGATAATGATCTGTGGACGACATCATAACACGTTTGCATTGGGGGTTTCTCATTACTTGGGCGTTTTTTGGAATTGTATTATTTTACCGTGCAACAGGGAAGGCACAGAGGCGAATGTCGGGACTCTTGTAACCTTTATTTGCGATTTGTTTTTTATTGCCTTTTTCCTGTATTAAAGAGCGTCGGGGAGGGACGTACATGGTCACAAGGGGTTGAAGTAACACTGGATATCCTAAAGGTTTCGGAAGGGCTCATGGCGAAGGGAGTATAGGCACGCCCTCGGCAGTCTTTTTGTATTATTTTGCCACTATTGACTTGCATTGCGTGTACAACTCAAGTTGACGAAGGTGTGGGTGCTTTATCGTGATATGATAACCTCCTATGTTCTGTTGGCCTAGTAGTGTAGGCTCATGGCTCGGCGAAGGGCAGAACGGCCACGCCTGAAACGGTTCGCAAAACGGTGCGATAACTGGTTCGCCCAGATGTGGTGCCGCCGCCGTTTCCACGTTTCTGCCTGCTGCAAGGTACTTTTCAAGATCAAGGCAAAATACAAAGAGGTATCCACGGCTGCCTGGAGCCCGGCCAATGAAAAAAATCGGCACATTGAGGTGCCATCAGTTGGCATGTCTGGCGGGCATGTACCTGGTGATCTGAGGTACGAGGTTGTTGACACGCCCGTCCCTGAATAGGGTTAGCGCTCCTATGGCTGTCCTCTTTATTGGACTAATCGACCGCCCCGCATTTCTTTAACGTGTTGTTGATTCTGGACACGCCTTTTCTGCCTATTAGTTATTATGCTGGTTCCAAAAAAAAAAATAGGAGCCAGGCTGATGAGGGGGGCAAGGAGCTGGCTGATTGTGCACGGTTATTTATGAATAACAAGTCGCCTCCCACGCCCCCCCCGCATCTTGGGCTTTCCTCTTTCATACCACACACATCTTACCTTTTTTACCACAACAACGCCGCCACCTCGCGTCAACGCAATACTACATTTAACCACTTATTCCCACTTTAACAACTTCTAATCCATCAACATGACTGGACGTAAGTGATGATGCTCCTTTTTCTTTTATGCTTTTGATGATGGCGCGCGCTTGTTTCCTGGTGCTGCGTCCTTGAACGGCTCCGAGGGGTTGCGTGGCTTTTAATGACGCGTTCATCGCCCATGCATCGCGTCTGCCCCGCGACGCGTCTCGGCTCCATCAATCATATATCTGTCTTTTTCTTTCTTTCTTTCTCCCAGAAGCTGACCGTGATTCTTCCTCAGGTGGCAAGGGCGGCAAGGGTCTCGGCAAGGGCGGCGCCAAGCGTCACCGCAAGATTCTTCGCGACAACATTCAGGGCATCACCAAGCCCGCCATCCGCCGTCTGGCGCGCCGTGGCGGTGTCAAGCGTATTTCTGCCATGATCTACGAGGAGACTCGCAACGTGCTCAAGACCTTCCTTGAGGGTGTCATCCGTGACGCCGTCACCTACACCGAGCATGCCAAGCGCAAGACGGTCACGTCGCTCGACGTCGTCTACGCCCTCAAGCGCCAGGGCCGCACTCTCTACGGTTTCGGTGGTTAGACAAACCGCCTACACAGGTGGCGTGGCAGGGCTTTGGACCTGCTTCGCGTCTCGAATATCGCGTTGCTTTACACAAACTTCACGTCTATGCTGGGAAGAGACTGGTCAATTATGCGGATAGGCTGACCTCAAGGATTATCGCTGTACTTTTTTGATTTTTTTTAATGGCGTTTGAGAATGGATCATGACAATTATTGAGTCAGGGTAGATGGCTCGTTCAATGAAACTACGATACCAATACGATGGATGCTGCCAATGTGAAGAAACCAGACGTCTATGTTTAAACCCGAAGCTAAATACAAAGCGTCCTCCGACACAAGAAAGCCAGCCCTTGCGCCGCTCATTAGAAACAATTCCTGCCTTGTTGGCCCTCCCGCGTAACACGCAGCCCATCATCTCATCATAGGTATTTTCGCCCGGCCGCCGCCACGCGCGTCCGGAAGACGGGGCTGCGCACCTCCATGTTTTGCTTGTAGAACGGGTTCATCACAGCCTTGACCCAATTCTCGTAGACCTCGGCGAAGAACATCTTGATGGCCTCCTCGGTCGCCGGGCTCGTCGGGTTGGCGCCGATGGCTGTCGAGGAGCGCGACGACGCCGCCGCGGCGGCGCCAACACCGCCGGCGTTGGGCGGCGGCGGCTGGTGAAGGAGCAGAAACTTGGCGCCGGCGCCGGTGACGAAGCAGGAGATGTAGTTGTTGAAGAACTTGTCGACGCACTTGAGGTACCTGGGGGCGGTTAGCTTGGGGGGGAGAAGGGGGGAGCGGGATGCGCCAGACTCTCCCGGCCGCCTATGCGCAGGGAAAGCACCAGGAGAAAGGAAAACTCACATCTGCCCGTGTGACCACTGCACCTCCTCGACAACATCCAGACTCGAGTGCAGGATTATCTGGTTTAGGTGCCGCACCTGTTCGGTGAAGCGCGACTGGCCATCCCCGCCTTGCTTGGACGTCCCGAACTCGTACTCGAACAGCGGGTTGTCCTGGGTGCCGACAATGGCAAAATAGTAGCTCATTGTAGTGCGGTCCTCATTTGAATTTGGTGGAATGCCTGGGCTCACGAGCAAAAAGCTGTTCTTCTCCTTGTCGCGCGCTGGCTAGGTGGTAGTTTGGAGCTTCGATGGGTGGGCTTGTCACCAAGGCCACCAGCTGGCGATGCTCCAGCCGATGATTGCGCCCCACTTTTTGGACCAACCTTGGCCAGGAGAAAACGGAATTGACGACTCCAAAAAGTTTGGGAATTGATGAACACCAGCCAACGAACCACAACGCACCACACGAGCGTCTAGAAACCATGTTCGGTCCCTTTCGAATCACGAACCCCCTCTCGGGCGGCCTGCTGTGGAAGATTCCCTGGCGCCTGTCCAAGTTCCAGAAGCGGCGCCACCGCATGCGCCTGCGCGCCGTCGACGGTGTCGTGGCCACGCTCGACGCGGCGCTGGCGAAGCAGGGGCAGACGCTCGAGGCGATCGAGCGGTGGAAGGCGGAGATGCCCAAGGAGGAGGAGATGCTGCCCAAGGACAAGTACACCATCTTTGACCGCAAGGCCAAGAAGTTCCGCAAGGGCATTCACAGTACGTGCGGTCACGCGAGCGAGACGGGTAAAGGGATTGGAGACTGACTATTGTGATGCAGAGGTCCCGAAGTGGACGAGAGTTTCGCAGAGAATCAACCCGCCGGGTTATTAAAAACGAAGAATTTGCAGCGGCATGTTGTCGATGCGAAATTTACGATGTGATGGAACGGCAGACACATCCTGTACAATATCAAAGAACTCATTTACCTACCTCTGTTCTTGGTTTTACTACTATCGAAACGGGCGAATCACTTGGTCATGGAGGAAATGCCAGACGGTGGATGTACGATTGACAACAGCATGGTACAAATTAGATAAAGCAAGGCGCATGAATTGATTTCTAGTAAAAGCTTCCACGCGCCCAGACCTGCCTGCGCAAGAAAGACGAGCAAAAAAACCCCAATTGGTATAAACAAGGACACGACCCAGCCAGCTCCCCCTACCTGTCGTCGTCGTAGGCGCGGTCGTCGCCGCTCTGCAGCGCCCGGCCGACGCCGCCGCGGCCCTCGTCAAAGTCCTCGCGGTACTCGTCCCGCACCTGGCCGCCCGACTTGCCGCGGCCGTACTGGCGGCCCTCCTCGAAGCCCGGGTCGAGGTCGGTGCGGATGACGCGCTCGTCGAGCTTGGTGCCGCCGACGTACTTCATGCAGTCAAGCGCGTCCTGGTGCGTGTAGTACTCGACGAAGCAGAAGCCGCAGGGCGTCTTGCTGAACCGGTCCAGGCCCATGACCAGCCGCTTGATCTCGCCGCACTTGGAGAAGAGCTCGTAGACCTGCTCCTCGGTGGTGTAGAAGGATCTGGGCCGGGGTGCGGAAAGATGGTTAGCTGGTGAATCTTGTAGTGCAAGGTGGCTCGGGGTGCAATTGATTGAGGAGGCCTACAGGTTGCCGACGTAGAGAGTTGTGGCGTCGGCGAGAGGATCGGCTTGAGGCTCTACATCTTCTGGTTTATCGTCATCGCGGTCGCGTCTGCGACGGCCCTGTCAAGAGTGTCAGCATGGTTGTTTGCCTTGTCCTCCCATCGACCCGTTTGGGGGCCCTACTTTGTTCTGATAGTATGCGCTGGGTCGATCGAGTCTCTCGACGGTTGAGCGGACTGGCGGCGGAGCCATGCTGGGTATCGCGTCGTCTGTGTCGCTTGGAAGCGGCGCGGGGTCGAAATTGAATGCGGTGGTATGTGTTTAGTACTGCTACACAGGTCGCAGCCTTTATGTTGTGTCACGAGAGCTCTTGTCGCAAAGTTAATGTAGGGCGTTTGGCCAACCGAACAGACGCCTTGAAGCTCTTGCCATAGTGGAGACCTGCCGCCTAACCGTGGCGACGCGGGTTGGTAAACCAAGAGCTCTTGGTTAAGGCGGCAGTATGTAGACTGGGGCAATCAAAATCAATTAAAATCAAACGTGCAGACAATTGAGGATATTTATCCTTTTATGTTCTTTTTATGCCCTACCGTTTCCCAGCATTGAACGTTGAGCGAACTGGTTTTGCTCTGTCCTACCGCGCGGCAGCTTACAAAAAAACACTTGGGAGCCTGCGCTTTTTGCCTGGTCGACGCCCCAGCCTTTCCACCTAGAAGTTGACTTCTGCACACTTGCACTTTACACAAACAGCACCACTTAACGCTCGCTCGGAGGAAACGCGGACTCAGCAAGTAGCTGTTTCGAAACTGCTGCTTTCAAATACTTGCCTGTTACACCGCCCTATTTTCTGGTCCGTCCCTACGCAACGAGCAGAGGATGCCCAAGGTCAAGTGCTACTCGGCCGCTTGGCTGTCCAAGAATGCACCCGGCCATCAGCTTTTTGAGCCCTCTCCCGAGGTCGCCCGCGGCCGTAGCCTCGCGTCGCCGTATGCTACCAAGAAGAAATTGGTTCCTCAGGGCCCGAGACGGACGATTGCGCGACGCGGCACCGAGGTCTTCGTGGCCGTGGGCAAGGAGATCCGATGGGGAGACTTGGCCTACCTCAAGGACAGGTGGGCAGACAGCCAGGCTAGGGAGCGTCGTGGCTCGAGCTCCCGTATCAAGCGCGAGGACTCTACCGTGAATCTCGAGGATATCCCAGAGTTTGAAGCTGGCGGCGGCCTCAGAGTAAGTCGTACCACAATGCGAGCGTTTGGAGCGAGCCGCTAACAAGCTCTGTCAAGACGATCAAGGTCCCGGTCGCCGACGATATACGACAGCTTATCATCTCCCCCAATACCAACCTCCTCGCCATCCTCACCACGCACACCATTCACATCTGCACGATACCCGACTCGACGCATCTCACGAGCGAGGATACAGCCCCGCTGAAGCCCAAGATCTTTACCCTTGGCCCGACCACCCATGTCACGTCGCGGTCGCCCATCATGTCGGCGCTCTGGCATCCGCTTGGAGTTAACGGCTCCTGCGTTGTCACCGTCACGGCCGACGCGATTGTTAGAGTTTGGGAGCTGTCCACAGCTGACCGCTGGTCCTTTGATACCCCCACAACCTCCATCGACCTCAAGAAGCTGGCAGACGGCACGACGCTGGACCAGGATTTCTCCGCTTCGACTTCGGCCACAAACAAGGCCTTCTCCCCTGATTCCTTTGAAATGGAAGTCGCGACAGCAAGCTTCGCAAGCAAGGGAACTGGAGGCTGGAACCCAATGACCCTGTGGGTGGCCATGCGCGAAGGAGACGTGTACGCTCTGTGCCCGCTGCTGCCCCAGCGCTGGGCCCCTCCTCCTACGCTGATCCCTTCGCTTTCCGTCTCCATCGTGGCTACGGTCGGCAGCATCGAGGACGATGCGTCGGTCGACGAAAGCGAAAAGCTGCTGGCCCAGCAACAGTTGCAGTGGATGGGTGATTTGGATTCGCAAGAGCCGCAAATTGTCGATAGCACAATCCTGGGAGACCCTCCCGTCGAAGTCTATACCCGCCCTTCTCGACCCGGTATTATTCCTCGACTTCAGGGACCGTTCGACCTCATCTCTGATCCCGAGACCGGTGACGAACTGGACACGTCTGTCACCGACATCATGGTCATTGGCAAAAAGACGGAAACAGACGATTTGATGCTAGGGGAAGACGAGTACGAGCTAGATCTCGATGCCGGCGATCAAGAAGGCCTCTCACTGGCAGTCATTTGCCTGCTGTCCACGAGTGGCCAGGTGCGCGTCTACCTGGACATGGACGGCATTCAAGCGCAGTGGCTACCTCCCAAGAATAAATCCAAGAGTAGCAGACTAACCGCGGAAGCCAAGACGCCGTCACTCCTTGCGTTCCAGGCCATCGACACCATGACACCTGTCGAAGTAACGGAAGAGAGCTGGCCGGTCTTCAGCGATGATGCACTCTCACGGTACAGCTTCTTTGTGACGCACCATGCAGGCATCACGTTCGTGTCTCTCGCATCGTGGATCTTTCGTCTTGAGGGGGAGCTGTCAGGGGACTACGAAGCTGGCACAGACTTTAGACTCGGGCTGCTGGTCAATTCTCAGTCTAGCAGAGAGCGAATTTACGCGCAACCCGCCTCAGATGCTGCGGTGCCGCTCGCAGGCTGCGTTGCTCTGAGAGACCCAGACGTTGGCTACTTCCTCCTCTCAGCCACCCCTTATGAGCCCATCGCCGTCATTTTCGAAAGCCCCGAGATGGAAGTCATTCCTGTTGACCGAGAGGTCAGCCCGGAGCGTGAACGTGAGGCTAGCATGGCGCCTCTCGACTTCTATGAGCCTCGCCCCGTCTACAACCCGCCACACGCGTTTGATCAGGGATCGGCCCTCCCGCTACTGCTGGAAAGATTACGCACGTCGCGTCACAAGACTATAGTTACTCAGGAGGTTAAACTAAGCCCCTTGACGTTGCAAATCTTTACGGATGCTCACAAGGTCCTGAGCGACGAGACATACAAGCTTGGTGTGTCTGCGGCTGAGATTTTCCGACGGTGCGAGCTCCTGCAGAGCGAGCTGAAGCAGCAAGTAACCAAGGCCAACGAGGTCAAGGGCAAGATTGACGCCATCAATGGGGTTGACCGCGACGACGAGAGCGACAACGTCATGTATGAGCGGCGCATCTCGGAAGCCCGCAAGCGCCAAGAGGCGATTGTGCAGCGCGTGGAGAATCTGCGCAAGATTGTGGGCAAGGCTACGACGCGGGACCTGAGCAACAAGGAGCGGGCCTTTATGGAAGAAGTGCGCACCCTGAGCGCGAGCGTCTCGGGCCCTGAAGCGACGGAGGAGGAGGGGCGCGACGTTAAGAAGCAGGCTCAGGAACTGTGGAAGCGCCTGGACAGCGTCAAGCGGCTGCAGTCTGAGCTCGTGGCCGACGTGGAGGCGCTCAAGAAGAGCGGGCAGATGGAGACGACGACGTCTGCTTCGTCGTCGTCGGCAACGGAACTGCGGATTCCGCAGGACATTCGGCGTAGCAAGCTGCAGCAGGTGCAGGGCTTGCTGTCGCGCGAGACGGCACTGGTGGATGCGGTGACGTCGCGGCTGGAGAGGCTGCAGGCGACGGTATAGCCATAGGCAAGAGGAAAGGAAGCAAAGAGGGAAATTTTGGTTTACAGCGAATCGGGAGGGAGTGTATGTCTCTTGTGGAGTAATGAAATAAGGATCAAGGGTATACTTTTATATCTAGGAAACAGCAAATAATGCATTTACATCACTTTGTTATACAAGACGTGTGGTGTGCTTCTATAGTTGGCGTGAGGTGAGGTGAGGTGTGGTGTGTTGTGTGGTGTGGTTTACTGTTTTTTGGCGGCGAGCTGGGCGGTTGTTTGGAATGCGATTGCGGTGGAAATATGGGACCAGCTATCGTAGAGGAGGGCTGTACTGGACGTCAGAAATCCCTTGCTTCTACTGAGAGTGAAGGAGGGAAGGGGATTGGGAGAAGAAGAGAGAGAGAGACAGCGAGAGAGAGAGGGAGAGAGAGAGACAGGAGAGAGATGGCTATAGAGGAGTCTTGGTCTTACCGAGAGGCACACAGAACCAGGGCGCGTTGAAGCCGACGTAGTAGACCCAGTAGTAGAGGAACTCGGGCCGGCTGTAGGAGACGCCGGTGAGGCGGTGGTCGGCCCAGTTGGTGGCGTAGTAGAGCATGACGCCGTAGAGATGGGCGGTGCAGACGATGACCTGGAGGAAGTGGCGGGTTGGCGAGCGGCGGATGATTGCGATGGTGGTGAGGAGGGAGAGGGGGCCCCAGAGGAACTGCGTGTATCGTATGTGATTAGAGTGACCACGAAAAAGGGAGAACGAGGTGGACGCACGACGGTGATGTGCTCGATGCACAGGGTGAAGACGTCGCCGGTGAGGTAGCGCGAGTCGGACAGGGCGTACTCCTTCCACAGCATGGCGAACAGGGTGTGCTCGCCGACGAGGCGGCCCTGGAAGTGAATGAAGTATCCTGCCGAGCATTGGCCGGTCAGTCAGAGAGGCGCGATGGCCCGAGTTTTTTTTTTTTTTTTTTTTTGGGGGGGGGGGTGGTACACAGGAAGAACCAGGTGGCGGCGAAGCGGTCGGGCGCGCGTAGAGGCGGTTGTTGGTGGGCGGCGGCGGCGTAGGCGAAGAGGAGGACGGCGGCGGTGTTGCCGCCGAAGAGGGCGAGGATGACGGGGAGGGACACGGTGCTGGGCTGGTAGTCGGGCAGGACGGCGTCGAGGGGATAGTAAGGATGCGAGGCCATTGTGTTGGGTGTGCTGTGGGGGACTTGGAATGGACGAATCGAGGTGAGTTGGACTGAGTTGAATTGAGTGATGAGGCGAAGGGAGATGGAAGCCTGGATACCTGGCCCTCAGTGGGGGATGTTTTTTGGTGGTTTGGTAGGGGCCGAGTCCCACGGCCACGGCCACAGGGGTTGATGAGAAACAAAGCGGTACATTCAAGTTGGCTTTGCTTTTGCTGTTTTTTCCGTGCTGACGACTCATTGGACGTCTTTGCTAAAACTACCAAAAAGTAATCATAAGAATCATGTCTTTGCTCCTTCATCCAAAGCTGCCCTCGCCTTGCTTGTGACCCGCATCGCCGAATCTCGGACATGTAAGAGCCGGCCGGCCGAGAACCGTTTGTCCTGCAAACGAAACACCAACACCGACACCAACACCACCAACAACAAACAGCAACCCTCAAGTCTCAAACGCCGACCCATTCAGAGACGCACACGGCTTTCTGATGGGAGTCATGCGCCCGTCAACATCAGCGCTTGCGTTTATGCGCCGCCCACGCCCACACACCCACCTCCCCACGCCCTTCCGCGCCTCCTACACCACCATCACCACCACCACCGCCGCCCACGCCGCCGCCGCCCACGCCGCCCCCGGTCTGCGCAGCCTCCCCGCGTGGTTCGTCCGCGGCGGCACCTCCAACGGCCTCGTCCTGCGCTCCGCCGACCTCCCCTCCTCGCGCTCCTCCTGGCCCTCCATCCTCGCGCCCGCCATGGGTTCGCCCGACCCCGTCCACGCGCGGCAGCTCGACGGCATGGGCTCCGGCGCCAGCTCCACCTCCAAGCTCATCGTGCTCTCCCCCAGCACTACGCCGGACGCGCACGTGGCGTACACGTTCGTGCAGGTGGGCATCCGCGACGGCACCGTCGACGTGGCGGGCAACTGCGGCAACATGTCCAGCGCGGTCGGCCCGGCGGCGTGGGACATGGGATACGTGGACAGGAGGGGGCTGGTGAGCACGGAGGGGGACGGCACGCGCTGGGCGACGACGAGGCTGCTGAACACCAACACGAACAAGATCGTGGAGGCCCGGTTCCGGGTGGGAGGCGGGCCGCGGATGGAGTACTGCCCGACGGGGGGGTACGAGATGGACGGCGTGCCGGGGAAGCAGTCCCCGGTGACGCTGAGCTTCCTGGATCCGGCGGGCGCGGGGACCGGCCGCGGCGCGCTGCCGACGGGCCGTCCGGTGGACGAGCTGCGGGGCGGCGAGGGGGCGACGGTGCGCGCGTCGCTGGTGGACGTCGGCAACCCGGGTGTGTTCGTGGAGGGCCGCTCGCTGGGCTTGGAGGCGCCGCCGAGCCCGGCGGAGGTCGAGGCGGACGCGCGGCTGAAGAGGAGCCTGGAGGCGCTGAGGCGGCAGGGCGCGGCGATGATGGGGATGGACCCGGACACGGAGAGCGTGCCCAAGGTGGTGATGCTGTTCCCGGCGGACGGTCAGGGGGCGGACCTGTGCTGCCGGGCGATGAGCATGGGGCTGGCGCACAGGGCGGTGCCGCTGACGCTGGCGCTGTGTCTGGGCGCGGCGGCGCGGACGGAGGGCACGCTGGCGTGGGAGATGCTGAGGAGGAGGGCAGGGAGGGGGGTGGAGGGCAGGGAGGCGGTGAGGATCGCGCACCCGAGTGGCATGGTGGACGTGGATACGACGGTGGTGGACGGGGAGATTAAGGCGGCCAAGTTGCTGCGGACAGCGAGGGTGCTGATGAAGGGGGAGGTGTTTTACTAGTTGGGGAGGGTGTAGGTGTGTATTATATAATATGGTGATTGTGAATAAGAGAACATAATACAGTGATTGTGAATAAGAGAATGTAATGTGGTGATTATGAATAAGAGAATATAATGTGGTGATTATGAATGAGAAATGATGTGGTGATTATGAATGAGAAATGATGTGGTGATTGTGAATGAGAAATGATGTGGTGAGTGTGAATGAGAAATGATGTGGTGATTGTGAATGAGAAATGATGTGGTGATTATGAATAAGAGAATATGATATAGTCATGATGAATAAGAGAACATGATACGGTGATTATGAATAAGAGAATATGATATAGTCATTGTGAATAAGAGAGGCGTTAAACTAGATGGTTGTGAATCAGAGGAAAGACAAGTTAGAGTACGGTTCAGTTTCTGCATCTTGTGGAGTGTCATGATGTGGTTGATATAAGTGAGCCCAAGGAGGCACACGAAGCAGTCCATCATCAATACTCTTCTCTTTTAAGCAATACATCCCTGTTGAAGCTACTCAATCACGCAACCCACGCCCATGCCAACCAACACGCCTCAACCCTCACCAATGTTCACAACACACTCCATACCAGTCATCACTTATCAAGTCTCACAACTCACTCTATACCAACTAGGTCATCACCCCTCACATATATACAAAACAACTCTACATGCCATCAACGGGGCAGTCGTTGATGTTGTCCTGCCAGACAGCCCTGGCATAAGGCAGCAAAAAGTCTGCTCCGTGTTAGTCACTTCTTCTCTCCTCAGTCTCCAAGACACCAGCATCGCCAACTCACCCTGCGACGTAAAGTTGCAGTCGACGTAGCAGTCGACCATGCTCGCGTTGTACCCGCCGCCGAGGTACAGGATATACTCTTCGATACTACACACGCTCTCCCACCAGCACATGCATTCACGCTTCAGCAGCCTGGCGCTTACAAGTCGTAAAAGACGACATCGACAACCTCCGGCGTGGCACCGTCCGGGAAGCCACCACGCGCCTCGTAGTAGCCCGGGTGGCGCATGGACGGCACCGCCGTGTGGTTGGTGTCGTCGCCGTCGGTGCCCCAGTCGTCCGCGGTGACGTATCCGGGAGTGACGACCTCCTATCTGCGCATCGGCCGGCCCCTCGCCCCCCGGCCGAGGCGGCCCGTGGTCGGGTCGGTGCACTCGTCCTGCGGCGCCGCCATGGCCACCACCAACTCGCCGCGCTTATCCGCGCGGCCGTCATCAAGCCTGCATTCCCCTCCAAGTCAGCCTCCCCCCTCCCCCCCCTTCCTCTCAGCATATCGTACTTACTGCGTGATCAACCGCCCCGCCTTGGCGTACGGCACGTCCTTGACGTACCGGAACACGTCGTGGAACGGGGACACGATGAAGTTGTCGTCGTGCGTGAACGGGCCTTTCGGTATGTCATACCGCACGCTGCCCGTTTTCCCCCAGGATGATGCGCGCCTTGCCCGCGCGCGCTCCGGCCGCACCACCACCCGCCCCCGTCCCACCGCCGGCACGATGACCCCCGGGAACAGGTTCTCCGGGCCGTCGAACGGCGCGCAGTCCACGCACCACGACCGCGGCGCGCACGCCCGTACACCTCCCCCCAGACGCAGCTCCTCCCTGACCTGCGCAATCTCCTGCCTCACGCGCTGGCCGGAGCGGTGGTCGCACGTGGCGGGCTGCCGGCGCAAGTGGTAGATGAAGGTGTTGCGGTTCCAGTCGAGGTACCTACGGGCGTACCTGAACGGCGAGGGAGGAGCGGGTTCTTGATGCCGTGGTAGCCGCCGTTGCTGCCGTCGAAGCCCGGACATGGACACCCAGCCGATGGTCTCGCAGTAGCGACCGGCCGCTGCTACTTCAGGGCGCTGACGAAACACTCCTGCTTGAGGTGGCCCTCGAGCCAGCCGTGCGTGTCGGTCTGGTACTATGAGCGAGTGAGGCTACCTCTCTCGACGCTGGAGACAGGTCATAAGCGTGTGAAGAAAAGTTCATCTGACCCCATTCTAGAGGCCCCTTGGGTCCGTACGTCGCGTTGGGCGCACCAGGTTGCATGCGCTTGACCCCTGGCGGACATACTCGACGTTGTCATGGGGGCCGTAGCAGCTGTGCTCCTCTCCGTTGCAGGCAGCCACCAGGCCGGTGAGAATAGCAGTCGATTTCATGTCTTGTTGCTGGCTGATGGAGGTACGGACAGTGTAGGTTGTCAATCAGCTGTATCTGGGGACAGCCAGAAAGGGCAGCAGCTTGCTTCTATATAAACAAAACCCGCGAGCTTGTCATGTACTAACCGGTTCACTAATAAATCCCGGCTCTGTCTTATCTTGTTGCATATTAACTTCCCACCGCGGCGACCTCCGCTTACACCAACACCTTCATCGGCATTGGCCTCTTTCCTATTCGCGCAGGGCCCTCTTCCTTTCCCTCTTTTCCCTCTTTTCCCTCTTTTCCTTCCTCCAGAAACTTCTCTCCCCAAGTCTCACTCCAGCCTACTGCCCAGACCGCCGCCGATCGACCCGAGCTGGGCGTTCTTGGCCTTCCTCATGGGGGCAATGCAGCCAAGGAGAACTTGTTTCCGCCCCCTCAACTTCCGTGGCGCTCCTAGAATGCTCTCTAGAATTATGCTTCCTTGTAAGAAGAGGGCTGTAAAAAAATACAAGTTCCCCCACAGGGCGTTCAGCTTGGTTCCTGCGACCCGTCTCGGCCGATAGCACGCAGCCCCCGAGTTGAACCTCTAATAATAAGAGGAAAGAATGCAGCCATGTGCTGGAGAGATGGGTGGGGACAACATAATGCGATTCTTCTTTTTCAACGTCAACGCGATACTTTCGATCTCTGCATTGGGCTATCTTGTCTGTTGTACATCGGCTTGTCAAAGGCGTGTGTAGTCAATGGATTAACTCATGCTGTGATGTGGCTGTGGCTGTGGCGCTTCAAGTCAGACTAGACGTGTGGTGTGGCTTAATTCTACAGTTTACGTTTCTACGAAATAGCCCAATCCATCAGTAGGACTCCCAGCTCGTGCATGTCAATACGTGCAATCCAAAAATTATACTTTGTAATTGGCGGCGTTTCACGCCTGGTCAATGTTCATCTCCTAGTTTTGCCTTTTCAACTTTCTTACGCGAGCGTGTCGCCGCCGTAGCCGCGCACGAGGTCACGCATCCATCTGTAGTAAAAGGCATCATCCCTACGAGAGAGAAACTACTGGAGCCCAAGGAATAAAAAAAGCCATTTTTTTTCTAGAGGGAGTTTCTTTCTTCTGCTCAATCTCTAAAATACTATATTTGATTTGACCCAAAGCCGATATGCTGCCACACCCATGCATCTTCTGCTGCCTGTGCCGCCTGCCTAGACCTTCGGCCCATGATGAGGCTGATGCCTCGCGATGCATATAACCTCCCTCCTCCTCCTCCTCCTCCTCCTCCTCACCCCCCAAATCCCAATCTCATTCCAAGTCATCTTTTTCTCAACTTTGAATGAATCCTCCTCATCCCCTCCCTTTCCACCTCAAACCAGCCCCCTCCCTCTTCCCATCTCCGCCCCCATCCCCTCCCTACGCCGTCTTCCACCACGTCCTCATCACCTTGTTCGCATACTCCTCATCCATCCCCCAGTTCCTCACCGCATCCTCAATCCCCGCCTCCATCCTCCCCACGTACTCCTCCCTCGGCGTCCCCTTCTCCGCCCTCTTCTCATCCACATACACCAGCGCCTCCACCTCCTCCCCCTCCCCGGCCTCCCCGTCCCTCACCCAGCGCACCTTGCACCGTACCTTGCCATACGCCCCGCTCCTCACCCCCTCGTGCACGTCCAGGCTCGCCTCGTCCCGCGGCGGCAGCAGATACACCAGCCCGTGCACCCCCTCGGCCGGCGTCGTGGGGGGCGCCAGGGGGAAGCACGGGTGCGTGGGGGGGAGCGCGTTGGCGTAGCCGCGCGCGTTGATGCTCCAGCGCCAGCCGGGCAGCACGGCGAGGCCGACGGGGGTGGACGACGGGCAGCGGGCGCGCATCTGCGCGGTGGACAGGTTGCTGCCGTAGGCGAAGTAGAGCACCTCGTGGCGGTCCTGCTCGACGACGGTGGCGGTGCTGTCCTGCGACTCCTGCGACTCCATCTTGGGTTCTTGCTTGGTCGCGGCGGTTTTGTAACCGTGGCGTCTGCTTGGTTTGCTTGGACTGTATGTCTCCGGAGAGGAGGAGGTGTAGCTTGGAGAGGCGGCAAACGGTTGGTTTTATGATGGAGGAGGAAAGGTTGGACAGGGTGCGTTGCAGTAGTCACTTGTCATCACTCGCCCACAAATGTATATGCGCATGGTTGTCAATTCACGCTGCGCCGCATTTTTACACATCATCTTCTGTTATTCTTGTCCCCCGTGTTTGTATTCCAGATCCCAAGGCGAGACTTTTTCCACTTGACTGGTCATTTCGATGCTGCCTCGCTTGGTTGGGCCGTGACTTCGGCTGGCCTGTTTTGGCGGCCGGGCGATTTAGGCAGATGCGCATGTAACCCTTCCATCTTCCAGGCAGCAAGATTACCGGGACCGTACTTTTACTAAGAAATACTTGCATAGGATAAAAGGCTGCAGATTCCATGTTCGTAAAAAACTTTGGAAAAGATGGAAATCCCCATCTTTTGCTTCTTCAAAAACTAGGCAACTGGATACGACATTGACACAACACCCTACAACGGGACTCGAGTTATCTTTGGCATCATCCCGCAACTGCATGGGTAGCTTGGCAGCCTTGGCAGAAGTCAAATGGACAAACAGGGCAATGCAAGCATCAAAATCCCATCTGGTCATCTGCAACCCAAATCGGCCTCATCAGTGGCTGTGCTTCGCCAACCCTCACTCGCATTCAAGAAACGGCCAGTCATCATTTGTCATATCCTTCGTATTTCCCAGCTAGCTCTAAATTACAATACAACGTCGTTCCCATCTTCTTTTCATATGCAAAATATACCCTTCATGGCCGCTTAACAACGGCACATCCACCTCATCTAATCATGTGCAAGAATCCCCCTACCCATCCCTAGCAACCAAGACTTGCGGCAGCCGAGTCCAGCCCAGTGCCTGTCGTGCAACCAGCACCATTGTAAATAGGTCACGTAATAGGGCTGAGAAACGGGCTCAGCATCAACTCGTCCGCACTCGGCCGCTGGTCGTGGTCTAGCTCAAATGTCTGCTGGAGAAACTTCTTCGCCTCTGCGCTGGCATTCTCCGGGATCGTCGGCGACGCCTTGCCCCCGCCAATCTTGAAGATGGCCTGCAGCTGACTGCAGTCCGGGAATGGGTGCGTCCCCGTCATCATCTCCACCACCAGACACCCCAGTGACCAAATGTCTGCCTTGCGCGTGTACGACGTCTGCTTCACTACCTCGGGCGCCATCCAAAAGACCGAGCCCTGCAATGAAGGCCTGTGCTTGGCGTTCTTGGCGCCGCCCAACAGGTTCGACGCCTCGAGCTTCTTCGAGATGCCAAAGTCAGAAATCTTGATGGTGCCTTTGTTGTCCACCAGGATGTTGGCCCCCTTGATGTCGCGGTGAATGATGTCGCGCGCGTGAAGGTACGACAGACCCGTCAAGATCTGTCGCACAAAGCTGCGCACCAGGGGCTCACCCAGCGCGCCATACGAGTTGAGCATCGTCTGCACAGAGCCGCCAGCAACGTACTCGAGGAAAATGTTCAGGTTGCTGTCTGACGAGCTGCAGCCCAGATACTGCACAATGTTTGGGTGTCTGAGCTCGCGCAGCAGTCCGATTTCTCGCTTCAGCGCGTCAATCATGCCCTTCTTTCGCGTGTCGCTCGCGCTCAGCGTTCCGGAAGGAGTCTCTACTTGCTTCACAGCAAGAAGCTCACCAGTGACGGCGTGCAGTGCAAGGTACACGGAGCCAAATGAGCCTTGCCCAATTAGCGCGCCCTTCATCCACTTATTATCGTCCCAGGAATCTCCATCCAAGAAACTCTGCAGCTCCTCGTCCTCATCCTCGCCGTCATTAGTGAGGGCCTGCTTGATATCGTGCAGTGGCGCTGAACCGGTGGAGCCTTCGCCATCATAGTAGCTCAGGGCACCAGCCATCGTCAGACTGCCGGCAGCGGTATCTGAGTTGCTCTCGGTGAAGGAGACGTACGACTTGCGGTCAGGCTCTGAAGGCGTCTCTTCTTGGAGGGTATCCAGCATGGACGATGAAATGGAGTCGCGTTGGTACATGCTGCGAGCATCTCTGCTACGGACCTTGGCAATGTGTGAGTTTCCACTCAGCCAAGAATCCGCAATCGTCGGCATAGGCGGCGCATCCTGGACGCTGGAAGCGAAGCTGAGGCTACTTGCGACACTAAGACGGCTGTTGATTCTGCTCAGCCGTGTAGATCGGCGCATAGAAAGACGAGCAGTGCGGTCGATCTCTTCGCGAGGGTGATCAGGGAAGTATGATGTGAGATCAGAGGCAATCAGTTCACTGGGAGGTCGCAGACCGCCAAACTGACGCAGGCCAACGCTGCTCTTACTCTGCGGTCGCGCCTCCGAGGTCGGCGACGGCCTCTCCAGCTCTCGCATGGCGGCCTTGTAGTATTCATCGCGGTCGCGGAACAGCAGCGGTGACAGCGGCTGTTGCAACTCTTCATTCCAGTTCTCACCGAGGAGCTTTTGCACCTTGACTTGGCTGCGCTTGTCGACAGACTCTAGAGCACGTGTATGCTTCTGCTGCTCTTCTTCTAGGGCGATGGCCGCAGCCCGCTGCAGCTCAGCCTCTCCAGGTTCGCCAGCAGGGACGCGGCGCAGAATTAAACGGTTGCGCTCGGGCCGGCGCTGGTCCTTGATGATACGCCAGAGCTCAGTATCGCCGAGCCGTCGGCATTCGCGGGGGTCCGGGTCGAGGCCGGTGAGAACCCAGAAACAGTAATTTCTCTCGTGGTCCTCTCGGAGTGAAAACTTTCGGAGTGTAACACGCATTACATCCTCGCAAGTATTACAGTCGGCGATCTTGACGACTTTGGTGACACCACCGGTGGATATGACACGGATGACGTCTTGGCCTTGTGGCAGGGCAGCCATGAGAGAGCCATCCATGCTAGAGTTGTTTCTTGTATGAGCTGTTTGCACCCGGGTGGGCGCCTCGCCGTCGGCAGAAGCCGGTATTCTAGCAGAGGTGTTGGGTGCCGCATTGCTCACGTAGCCTGCGGGGAATCTTTGTTGTCTGGCAGAGCGCATCTCACCCGAGATGGGTGGCGAGGAGGGCCTATTAGAGCGATCGATTTCGAGAGGTGGTGGTACATCGACTTGTCTCGAGTATCGTCGGTTCACGGGAGCGGGGTTTGTGCTATTGCTACCGCTGCTGCGGAGGTTGAGGGGTCGGGGTGAGACGCTGGGAGCAGATATGGATATGGGTTCGAGGGCGGCAAATGAATCCTGCAGAACAGTTAGCTTAAAAGAAGCTACTGGGGGTCCCAACAAGCAAACACACCCGATTCCGCTTCTTTTGGTTGGCGTAGGCCCTTGTGCGCAGCTTCTTAATACATAGAAAGAGGCGGACGCGGTCGCCGACCTTGTCGATGCCCATTTCCTTGAGGACCTCCTTGTCCATCTCCAAGAGGTTCTGACCATTGATGTTGTTTCTGCGGAAGATCTTTTCGTACTCGCCGCACTTGACACTGGCGAGGTAGTCGCAGACATGGTCTTCGTCCCAGTTCTTGACCGAATCAGGGCCGTCAGTGTCGGAGAACTCGGACTCGGTCGGGCTGGCAAAGGCCTGGGGTGGGTTCGCAATGTTGGGGACGCGGCGGGCGGTGGGCAGGCCGGACTGGATCGTGTTGCCAGCCAGACCAGCTGTGCTGATGGACGAGCCAGGGAATGGCGGTTTCGTGGCCAACATGGCGGCGGTTTGAGTATGGTGTGCCGGACAGATATAGAAGGTGTTTGGTGGGACAGGCCGGTCGGTTGAAATGAGAGGTTCTTTGGAAAGGAAGACGGTGTTGCTGAATTAAGCGAAGAGGTCGGGTTCGCAAGCAATACACAAGGCGCCTCGAGTTCAGAATGGACCGTTGCGGGTGTCAGGGTAATAAGTACCGGCGAAGTGGGAGAGAAATATGGAATCGAGAGAAAGAAAGCGAGAAGAAAAAAACGCGAAACTCAAAAAGCAGGAGAAAGAAACGACAATTCTATTAATGATCCCCCGCCGGGCAAAAAGGAAACGGTGTTGGAGCTGGAAGAGATGTGCAGAAGAAGTGTTTGCGCTGGTGACGAACCAGGGGAGGGGGGGAGTTGAAGAGGTGTTGGCGTTGGGCGTGAGACGTGTTCCGAGCGTCGATAGCAGGGGTGCAGGGTGCTAACGATGGATGGTGGGCTGAGCCGTTGCTGGCAGGCGACAGTTCAGTGGCGTAGGCGTAGGCGTTATGCGCACAGAAGTCTTCAGCGCCGACCCGCTTGGGAGGGAAAGATGCGAGGAAGAAGGAAGCGGAAAGGAACAATGGGAGAAGCTGAATGAATGAAAAACAGTAAACAGTGGTCCCAATGTTCGCAAATGGTTGGCAAACGATGCAGTTGCAGTTGCACTTGTTGCAGTAGGCGCCCGCAGTGTGCTGAGACCAGGGTCCAACTGTGACGGTGGGAGGGGGGCTCGATGGCCTCCAAAAATAAAGACCCCAAAGTCACCAAGGGATCCCGGGAACATGCAAAAAGGCAGGGCAAGGTAGGCGGTACGAATCTTGTGTGCGTGTTCGAATATTCGCGGGATTCGACAGAGCGATTGGCCCCCAAGGTCCCCTGTAATCTCTGACCCCGCTGACTTGCTCGGTTCGCTTTTTTTCGTCTTGGTCGCAGGTTGCTAGCCAGCCTTGTCCAGGCCAGGGCTGGTTGGAATTTGATTGCAAGGACGAGAGGAAAAGCAGCAGGGGGTGAGGAGGGAACGGGATGCCATGCGGGGACCGGGGGGAAGGGACCAAAGTAGTATTATAATAAACGGTTCTTCTTTGCCGACTTCTTTGTCCAAGATGGCAGGTATATGGAAATATGGTGCCAAGGTCAATGCGAGCAGGTCCTTGATGGGAGCATTTTACTTGCCAACAGGGCCATGGCGGCGCAGAGCACAAGGACAATGGCCAACATGAAACACGCCGACGTACCCTCGGCTTATCTCAACCATGATGGGACTCCAACGACTGTCAACGAACTACCTTGATATTTACTCATTCACAGCCCTTCTTCCGCCTCTTTTGAAACTATTCTTTTCTTGACATGTCAAATTCTCCCCTCCTGCCGAGGCCAATTCTCCTCCATCTCTCCGTCCATCTTTGCACCCTGCAGGCTGTGCTTGTCGAAACACTCGGTTCCTTTTGCGGCCCGCAACACGGGGTTTCTGGCTTGCTTGGGTGGCCCCCCCCCCCTCCCTTTTACATCCTGCGCAAGCCAGCCAGGCGCATGAATGCTCTCACCCACCAACACATTGTAAGGCGGGGCCCCTAGCCGTCTCATTAACATGCTTGTTTTTTTTTTTTCGTCCGTCAGTATGCCGGGAAGAAAGAGGGAGAGAAAACAAGACTCTTTTTTGGCCCGACTTGAAACGAACACTGGGTGCAGAGTCTGTGGACGTGGCAGGTGTTTGCTCGCATCTGGGTCCCGTTTCATGGCCCCAGCGGGCAGGCTCCGAGGCCGTGCCGACCGACCACCACCAGTAGACAGAAAAACACCATCAGTACATGTCTGTAGACCTCCATGATATTAAACTCTCGCGACGACCGTGCGTACTCAACATTGATGCCGCCGTTTCCTGACAAAGCCAGCGGGGCCCAACTTTGACTCGGACTAGTCAGTCCGTCCTCCGTCGTCATTATTCCCATACAAGTTGATGTTATCAATGTGCGTATAAGCCCCGCCCCGCCTCACATTGAGTTGGCCAGCATTGTATATTATTATACCTACAAACGTAACGAGACATCACCAGACCTCTGCCATGACCCAAACAGCCCTCCAACCTTGTTGTTTTGACGGCATTGTATTCGTCTGTATTTGCCTCCGCCTCCGCCTCCGCCTCCGTATTCTATCCTATGCCCTACCACCGTGACCCCCTTGTCATAACGCCAGCCGATGATAGGCCCGGCGCCACAAGAGATGAAACCAACCATGTTTCGCCCGACCAGGGCCTACGCACTCAGCTCCTCCTCTTCCCCCCCTCTCTCTTTCTCGTACATGTACATGTCAACGTGAATCCTTGCAACGAATCCTTTTCGGCAACTATTTTCCATCACCCACCCGCTTATCGGTTTACCATGTCATTGTTCCCAACGGACCGGACTCCGTCTTTAACTTCGGCCCCTGCTGTGCCATCGTGATTACGTAGGTATTCGCCGTCCTTGCCCATTAACAGCAAGGTGGCTTGCCGCAATCTGCCGCTGCTTGTGTTTGAGGCTTTGCCAACATCTGTGCGAGAAAACAAAGTTTATTTACTGCCAGGCCTCGCCCAAGTCAATTAAGGACGATGACTTGTTTTGTTTTTTAATCTATTTCTATCCTCCAATGTCTTTTTTAAATACATTATTTCCCAAACTTCCTTCTAACTATATGGTTCCCTAGTCATATATAGTAATCTGTACTTTTTGAATATTTTCTATTTTAAGCATCATTTATTTTAGCTGACTCTATTGCGGTAATTGCATGGGAAGTCCCCCTTGCACCCTTCACACGCATTACATCACCGAGTCCAAAATCCCACCTCCCCAAATATACAGATGCCATCCTTTTCCCAACTTAGACGCGCGGCTTTCTTTTTCCTTATCCCACGTGGAGGTCTTGCGCTGTTCCGTTTCAGGCCAGGAAACACAGAACCTGCCAAGCCGCATCGTGCCACTCGTCCGTGGCAACCTTCTTTTCTTTCCGCCCCCCCCCCCCCCCCTGGATACGTGTGCATATATGTACGTGCTCAGGAGATAAATCGGCTTACACCATGGTTTCTCCGGATCTCCTCAACCCGACCGGGTCCAAATGCCCAGGGAGACGAGATTCGGCGCCGGCGGCGTTTGCTGATGTGACAAGGCGCGGTGGGGCAAAGCTGGTTGAAACGGCGTTGCATGGGCTCGTACGACGGTGATGACAGCTGCACTGGATTTTTTTTATGCCGATTACCAGAACATTCTCTTTCAATGCTCTTGGGCGCAACCTAGTCTGTTGCATATGGGCATGGGCAGCCGAGCATCACGGCGCTACGCGCCCGGCCAAGGCTGTTTCACCACCACCACAGCCTACCAATTACGAGATACCGAGGTGCTAGGCATTGAGCGACAAAGGGCACAAACGGTAGAGAAACCTCGGGTGACTCTCTTTGTCATATGACAGGAATGCACATGTAGGTTGGACGACATACAAAGGGATCGAAGCGATAAAACCTCCGCTGTTCCAGCCCCGCGACGATGAAGCACAGCCAGGGTGCTTGAAGAAAATTAGAGATGAATAATAGACAGTAAAATGACATGAGACGGAAGATGGCGGAGAGATAAAGATAATGCAGGCTTGCATTTATCGATATCAGAATGCAAGAGTCGATACTGGGCGCGATAGCAAATGTGCCACTACTCCGTCGACGAACGGGAAACCGACTTGTGATTGCAGGAAATCTGTGGCGGCCAAATGAGAATGATGCAGCCCATATTTCCATATTTATCCCTTGTCCGGCGCGGTGCGCCATTTCCAGTCGATACCGCGATGGCACGTCTAGAAGCTTTTAACACTACGAATAGGTTGGTACGTAACCTGGAGCTAGAGCTCTTACATGGATGGCATCGAGTGGCTGCCGTGCATTGCTCCGGAATGAACTCAAGAAACCCCGTGAACATGAACACTCATGCAGCCAGTACCCTGCATTGTTTCTCAATCAACATGTCTCTCATCTTTGACGAACGAGGGGTGTGGGCGATGACGTAGCGAGGCGGATCGTCCACAGGCAATCTTGGGATGGCTCAGCTGCAGCTCCTCCTCCATCTAGGTTGACGACGATATCGCAACCACCGCGAGACAAAACTGCCGGAATCAAAGAGAGAGTAAATCGCCAAGTTCAGGGCGCTTTCCCCCCTTTTTTAAAATGCGCTGACGACATGGTCTCCTCATTGCTACGCAAAAGGCTGGATCATGGTGGAGGCCAGACTGACAAGTTCTCGATCTTGTCGGCCCGTCGGCGGTGGATTTCAGGCGGCCCCGCCACACCTTCTCCTCCTTGCAGCGATGGCCCTCCCAATCATCTTGTTATCTTCATCGACTATTAGAACGAAAGTTTTTTTCCTTTTTCTCCCATGTTTCGTGTCTCGGTCTCTTGGCGTTGTTTTCGGGGTCTTTCCGGAAAGAGTTTCCCGTTTGTCTTGAGCGATTTATGTAAACTGGTCGCGTGCTGTATCCTCGGGGCTGTACGTTAAAATAGGTTGACTGTATCTTGGTAGGTTGCGCCAAGGCATTCCATCTGATGCTTCGGAGGCGTTGGTGCTGCATACCTTGACTAGTATCTAACATTTAAGAGGTACGACCATTCCATGGGTTCTTCTACCAGGTGACCGGCATTTATGTGCTATTTCTGCACGACAGATGCGCGCGATGCGCTGCCAGCAAGGCCAGATGACAGCCTCACGCAATCCATACTCGCATACACCACTGAATAGCGTCCTGTGGCTTGCATGCGCCAGCGCACCACGGCGCGGTACAGCACAGGACAGAACAGCCAAACATGGAGGGGATTCTTTTTTTTTTTTAAGATTTTCCCTCTTTTCTATTGCCCATTTATTCTTCTCCAAGCGATCATGCCTTGCGACGGCGGCCAACAAAGTTGCTTGGTACTGACCGCGGTCCCGCAGCCAGCCTATCCAGAGCCGCCTCAACCCTCCCACAGAGCAAGCCATCGCCAGGTCGCTAGCAGCAATGCGATATGTCACCAAGACACTTTCTGCTTAGCTTCCTCCTGCATTTCGGGATATTCTTGTCTTCTTCGAGTTTTTCTCGGCCTGTCGCCCAAGCCCATCTTTGCTCCCCAATCAGGTGCACCCGAATCCCCATGAAGTCGTGGCACTGGGCGCCACATGGGGGAGACGTGAGCGGGGACCTGAGGCTCTAATTCTGCGCTTGCGGCGGGGAGCTTCTCGCTGCTTTTGCGAGATGTCGATGTCGATATGTAGCGGTTTATAATTAGGTACTACCTACATAGTTGATAATGCAGACGCATGTTGCCTTTTGAGCTTGACGTGACGAGGTAGCCTGGCCAGTGAGTGTCCCGGCCCTCAACTCTCCGCTTGCTTCGGGCCATCGCTTGTCACGGTTGGTCGTGCGGACGAGTCAAGCAAACGGCCGGCGTTTGTTTCCCATAAAAATCTCCGACAACAACGGGTTTTGAAAATAGAGTTTTCAAAAACCGCAACTACCATCCCCGACCAGCCGCAAGGTAGTTACATTCACCCCAACCCGTTACTACCGTATATTACCGGTACCTTCCTTTTACTTTCTCAGGCACATCGGCAGCCACGCTCCTAAAGCGGCACCGGCCACTCCACGCAATGTCGACCGACATCAGGTACTTTGATCCTCCCGTTCCATCGTCCTGCCGACGTCCCGATCTCGTTATAAAAGCTCTTGTATTTCCTTCTGTCGGCAATCCCATTGTTTGATCTTCTTTCTCTCTTTCCCCCTTTTCTACTCTGTTCTCAAGTTCTAGTTGCGAATTTAAAACAGTTTAGCTACCATTCATATACTCTTGAAACCGCCAACAGCTTAGCTTCAACCACCTCACCAGCAACAATGGCCCCCAGACCTGTCTTTGTCGCTACTCACCCGCGAGCATGCTCGACGGCTTTTGAGAGGGTATGTTGATGTTCCCAATCATTGCACCATCCAAATACGGAGTTCCGTGAAACACGCGACTCAACCCCCATTTGGTATGACCTTGTACTCACACATCCTGTCAACAGGTCTTCATGACCCGCCGTAAAGAACTCGAGTGCTCTCACGAGCCCTTTGCAGATGCCTTTTACCTTGGCCCGGAGCTCATGAGCGAGCGATTCAGCGACATGAGCGCCGACCGCAGCTCCTTGGGATTGGCCACTGACGACACATATCAAACCGTGCTGGATCGGTTTAACGATGTGAAGGTCCGTTTTCTCCTGCTATCCACTAAACACTTGAACCGTCACTTACCCATCTTCCTCCAGGGAAAACGCCTCCTCATCAAGGACATGGCCTACTACATCATGCAGCCTGACGACAAGCCAACCAGCATCGCGCCATCGGTCAGCTCCCGTAAGGAACCCAACAACCCGACCGTGCTGCCCCTTGAAGAACTGTCCAAGTTCCACTTCACCTTCCTCATCCGCCACCCACGCCGCGCCATTCCCTCCTACTGGCGCTGCTGTCTCCCCCCCCTCTCCGATCGCAACGGATTTCCCTACTTCCTCCCCAACGAGGCTGGCTACAAGGAGCTCGTCCGCCTATTTGACTTTCTGCTCGAGAACAACATCACCGACAAGGAACACCTGACCGTCATCGACGCCGATGACCTCCTTGACAGCCCGGAACCGACTATTCGCCAATTCTGCGAGCAGACTGGTATCGACTTCAATCCTGACATGCTCGTGTGGTCTGAAGAGGACACCAAGCACGCCCGCGAAAAGTTTGCCAAGTTTGACGGCTTCCACGACGACTGCCTCAATACCTCACGCCTCCACGCCAGAACCCACAAGCAGGTAAGCCAGCTCTCCCTCCAGAGTCACAAGCTGCGTGGAAGCGTTTGTTCCTAACTATGGCGTGTGTAGAAAACCTCAACGGTCGAGTCTGAAGACGCTGAATGGCTTCACAAGTTTGGCCCTGAGGCGCAAAAGATTATCCGCCAAACTGTCAATGACAATATTCCTGACTATGAGTATCTGAAGCAATTTACCAAGCCGGTTGCCACGGCTTGATACTCTCGGCCCTGTCCTGACTTGATTTTAATGACTTGAACGATTGACTTTTGCCCGTTTTGCAAGACCCCAGCTATATACGTACAATTTGGGCGGTGTTCCTGTTTTATTAAATTTATTTGTTGCCCTGTTAAGAGGGCGGGCTTGCACGGGATGCTCTGCATTTACACAGGTGGATGTTTCGAGCTTGTTGCTCCGCCGTACATGATTGGTGCTTAATATTACAATACATTTTTGCTTGCGCGCTGGTGCACCCAGCCGCCTCGCCTTCCTTCTTTTGTACATTTTAGATCTTGCCACTACGTAGACGCTTCCCGGCACTTGCAGTCGGTGTTTGGTATTCCCTCTCAAGCTGCCACGATGCCAGTCATAATGGATCCACCAAGTCTATTCGTACAGTCGCCGGGTCTGCCTTTCTCTCTCCTGGTATCAACCTACTTCATGCCGCAGCTTCCGCCTCTGCGGGGAGGGCTGTCTCGGGAACAGGGTCTACCATCTCCGAGTGCGAGACGTTGCGCGTCCACTTCTGCGCGTGTCCCGCATCCAGAATGTTGGCCCAGGTGACCTTGACCTCCACGCGTCTGCTCGGGCCCTTGCCGTCCCTGGAGACGATCTTGTTGCCGGCGCCGGCGCCTCCCAGCACGGCCGCGATGTCCGCGATCGAGTTTGTCTTTTGCGCGTTGAGCGCCTTGCCGCGCTCGGCCTTGGTGCGCGTGAACAGCGGCGGGGCCTCGCCCTCGGCGGCCCGACGGGCAACGGCCTTCTTCTCGGTCTCGGTGTACTCGATGGGTTTCTTGTAGAGGAGGGTGTCGTCCCAGGAGACCTCGTGCAGGTGCTTGAGCTCGCGCAGCTTCTGGAAGGCGGCGACGCCGACGGCACCGGCACCGCGGGGGAAGGCGATGCGGGCCATGGGCGCCCAGTAGTCCTTGCGGAGCTTGGCGGGTTTGGTCTTCTTGCCGTTGAAGGGCAGCTGCTTCATGTCGTGGAATCCCTATGAACGAGGCCGGGCTCGCGTTAGCATGTGTGCGGTCGTGGTGTCGTTGCACACGTCAATGGCCCAAATGACGAGGGTTTGTCATGGGCAAAAAGGTGTGAGTGATTGGAAAGAGCGCATACGTCTAACGTGGAATTGAAGCTGTAGATTATTTGGTCGGTCCTGCGGTGGGCGAATACCCAGATGTTCTCGCCGTGGCCTTCGGGCCCCTGGAAGGCCATGGGGTTCGGTGGTCGTTTCGCGCCGTGCAATTGCCGCACACATAGCCGCGCAATGTCTGGTAATTGGGCCACACGGGCCCTTTGCGTTGTGTTCATGGTCGGAGTCGCTGCCGGTCGCTCAATTGAGTTCGGTCGTCTGCTGGCGATTCAATATTGAGCATGGGAGAAAAGTCCCCAGAGCGATGAAAATGTGTCATGTGACCATGTTAAGTGGCTACACTTTCTATTATCATAATAGGTGGAGGCATGTGTAGCGCTAGGTAGCCAATATAGTAAAACGAAATGTACTTACGGTTTAAATCTATAAAAATAACTAAAACTATATACTAGAGTAAAGAAATACTTATAAAAGAAGAAGAAAATCTAAATATAATTATAAATAAAATAAATTAAAATAAATTAACTTTAATATCCTAATATCTATAAGCTAGATAGGTTCTAGTTAATAAATAAATATTTAATAATATATATATATTAGTATTTATATAGATAAAGGATATAGGATTATACCTTCGTTATTTAATATAATAGAGAGTCATTAAGAAAGTAATACGCTAGGCAACCCTAAGTTCTACTGTGGCTCCTCTCTCCTACGAAACATACAGAACATATTTAAGCAAGTAGATGAGAAAGCTAGAAATGGCTACTAGTTCCTCACATCTGCCACAAGCATCGTTTCGACGGGGCGCATACTAAAATTGTACTTTCATACAATCAACGACTTACGTCTATCCAGGGTGCATGAAGAAGACAACAGACGCGTGTTTTTGTCTGTATAGCGGCAACCTCCTGTGACACCTCCTTTCTTTCAAACAGACTCTACGCGGCACGCACTTCCAGCTCGGCGCATTTTCAAGAGCGGCAAATGTCTTTTTGTGCTGGTGCAGAAGGTTCGAGGAGAAGTTTTTATTCCCGGTGGCTAATGACACGCTCAAAATTTTCTTTAGTGCCGCAGCACTTTCTTTATATCCAGCTGGAAAAAGATTCAATTGCAAAGTTGCGCCGGGGACGGCTTCTCGAGATTTGTGACCAGACCACCAAAATGGGGCGTGTGCCTAATCTAGCAAGCTTCATGCGAGCAGGCCGCGCTGAACATCCCCGGGCGCGGGACGAGGAAGATTGCCGAGGTCGACATCTTTCGTCACGTCGCGAGCCTGCAGCACGTCCACTCCCAGCCTCTCGAAAAGCCGCTCCAGCTCCGGATATCTTTTGATAGCAAGCCCGACGTAGTTCAGACTGAGACCCCGGCTCAGTGATTTGAGTTCCTGTCTATACTTGTCCTCCAGCAGCCTCAAATCTGCTGCATCATGGTATTTAGCTCGGGTGGCGGCAGCGCGAAGCTTTCCTTTGAATAAGTAGAATGTCGAGAGGAAACAGGAGGTGCCCTGCCCTAGTACTGCGCCGCGGATGGCCATGTTTCTCAATGGCAAGCCTGCCATCGAATACTCGGCTCCCGGCATGACTGTCATTTAGCAATGCTTGTTCCGGTCAGTAACCGCAACGACTAACCTGGGAATTGTTCGCAGAAAACTTAAAAGAATCCAGTCGCGAACGAACCACACCAAATGTGCATCTCCAAGACATCTTCCTTTCACAATAGGTATTATTCGTCATATGTATCCAACAATTGACCTCACATGGATAGCTTCTGTCTCATCGCGAATGAAGCAAGTGACCTGATTTTCCGAGAAATAGTCGATCCTGGACTGCTTGCCATTTATCTGCGCAATAATCATGTCGCGCACTGTTTGTGAGCAGTCTGCAAGCTGGGAACCCACCCAGCTTTCATCCAGATTCACGCCATCGACCAGCTGCTCAACAGCAATCATGGCATTATCATCGTTCGTGAGGAGGAACTTGGTGGCCAGTCCGGCTAAAAATGGGGCCAGCCGAGGCAGGGGTATAGTCGCTACCTCCTCCAAAGGTACACCAACAATTTCTTTGCTGAAGGCCCCGTCTATGCCTCGAAGAAGTAGAGCGTTGCGCTCGAGAGGCTCTAGGCCACAGACATTGGCCGTGAAGATGACAATGCATCGTTGATTGCCTTCCAAAAAGGTCGTTTTTAAACGGGGAAAGCCCCGTTTATACTCTGTATAGTTGTTGACCTCCTCTTCTGGGTCACAAGGTTGAAAATAGCCAGACAGACAAAGCCTGGCAGCTGCGACAATGCAGCTTCCTTGTGGAACACATAATTCCAAGTCCTGCTCCACTTCATCAGTGCTGAGCCAACAAAAACATATGTGGGTGGTATACGTACATAACAGGCCCGCGGAACGTTATAATAATTCAATGCTAATTCGCCGATGATGCATGATGGGATGCCATATTCCTCGAGGATACGGGTCACGATTGTTGCGAGCGTCATCGTGCGCTGCTCGATAGGGTACCAAGCATGGTGATTCCAGGATCGAGGTGTCCCCCATCAACGGGCGCGTTCTACTGCCTCCCGTCATTTCCCTGGATTCACACAGTCGCCAACACGTGCCGTGCAACCCAGTTTCCCTCACACTGCAGCGCCGTTTCGACCTGCGATTCATCATGCACCCAGCTGTCGCGCAACTATCCCGCGGACACAATGAAGTCATTTATTTCGAGACTTTTGCGCCGATCGTGGCACAACCGAATACAGGTACTCTCTGATCTGCATCTCGAAATCGGTCAGCAGTACGCGTCCTTCACTTTCCCCGCCACCGCTCCCTACCTATTATTAGCTGGCGACATTGGTCGCCTGGCCGATTATGAGAACTACCTGGCATTTTTGCAGGCCCAAACAGCACGTTTCGAGGCCGTATTCCTTGTTTTGGGCAACCACGAATTTTATGGGTTGACCTATAATGATGCATTAACTACAGCACGGCGTCTTGCCGACGAACCGGCCCTGGACCAGCGACTTATACTCCTAGACAAAACGCGCTGGGACAGCCCGCGCTCTAACCTTTCCATTCTTGGCTGTACACTGTGGTCCTTAATACCGGAAGAGAAGATCGGAATCGTGCAATCCAGGGTGAAAGACTTTAAGAAAATCGGCGATTGGACGCCTGCCAGGCACAACAGCGTGCACGCTCAAGAGGCTGCCTGGCTACGCAAGGAAGTTGCCAACCTGACCGCCGCAACAGCGCAGAAAACCAGAAACTTGCTTATCGCTACGCACCACGCACCATGTCTTGAGGGGACCTCGAAGCCTGAGCACGCACATAACCCATGGTCCTCGGCATTTGCCACCGAGATGCTGGCATTCGGGGACTGGGGCCCTGTTAAGACCTGGGTGTTTGGCCACATGCATTATTCAACAGATACTGTGCGCAACGGCATTCGGATTGTAGCAAATCAGCGCGGCTATGTCATGCCACTGCGTTTGAATCGCTACCCCAGCAATGACAGCGCAAGCAACTACTTTGACGCTGCCAAAGTGGTTACCAATTAAAGTTGGTAAGCTCGAATAACTGCCTTTGATCAAGGAGCTACGCACTGATGCTCTGATGTGAAGCTGATGCCGCACACTCGAAGCGTTTAATTGAAGAATGGGATTCACGCAAAAAAAAAAAAAAAAAAAAAAAACCCGAAAAGTTCAATCGTCGAAAGCAATGAGGGAAAGGTTTCGAGACAGGCGCTACCAAGCCGCACAAAGAGGATAAATTCTGATGCTATGCAAAGCGTTTCACAGTATTTCTAGATAACAAAATCTGTTACTGTACTACTGTAGTTTGCCACTGGATACCAAAACTCCATCAATACGTCCAAGTCGCTTACTGTATAGATGCAGAGTTGCCCACATGTTATAGAACGACAGAAATCTTTATAAGGCTTTTGTTATGGTCGAACACCAAGCCTGCATCAGCCGAATGTGGCCGCGTACGTTCGTCATGCACCTCAGTATCACGATACTGGTACCTACTTTCTACCTTCCAAACTACGTGGTTTGTTCCGGTGCACATGTTGGGTACGCTGTTACAGTCCAATACAGCATTGCCCAGCGGTAATTAGCCTTGTTTCTCAAGCTCACTTGCTGCTCAATCTCGACGAGGGCGTTGTGCCGATCCTGGACGGCTGAGAGGGCGACGCCGGCTCGTCCTAGGCGACTGCTTTGCATCAAGACCTGGCTAAAGACTTGGCTATAGCTCGTATCCTTAAAAGTGGCGCGGAAATCCTGCTCCAAGGCGTTAGAGTGGATAACTCGATAATGGCGGGCCATTAGGTCTTATGTGCTTTCGAAAGTTCGACTCGACCTGCTGTTACATCTGAATGGCCTGCCCGCATCGTCGAGGGTCTCTGCTGGAGTATGCGCAGCTGCTTGAGGCTAAACTCAAGCCCATTAATGCCCGTATTAACGTCTCGGCACTAGTCGAGGAGAGCATCGCTGGCGTTGCTCCTAAATGTAGCATTCTGTGTCGGTGTGGCCATTTTTACGCTGACGATGGGAAGAAGTTTCTATGCGTGGCTAAGCCATGCCTCACGGCCTAATCATAAGAATGCTAGACTAAGTCCCCTTAGAGACTACGTCTTATAAGACTATTAATCTTACTAAATTTAGTATAGTACTACTAGTAAAATTTTTATAATTCCTATATAACTTATTAAGAAAAGTACTCTTTCTTTTATAAAACTTAGTAACTATTAAAAAAAGTAAAGTATAGTATTATAAATATTATAATATATATATAAGGCTAAGTAAAGTAAACTAGGGTTTAATATACTAACGCCTAGAAAGGATAGGAGGTTATATAATATCCTTAGGATTAAGGACTTAAACTATTAAGCTATTAATCTAAGGATAGAATTTAAAGGATTAAAGGTTAAGCCTTTTAATCTAGAGTTATAATAAAGAGATAGATAGGTACTTAAGGAGGAAGTTATTATAAATCAAGAATGTACATAAGACAGCTAGGAGGCGGCCTAAGAAGAGCAACTAGGTGGGAACCTATAAGTCACCTAAATAGGATATAAGGTTATATAACTAGATCACTATAGATTATAATAAGCTAGTAGTAATCCTATAGATATTAGATTATAGGGGATTACTAGTAATCTAGAGTAATCCTAAGAAAATAATAGAGAGGTAGATAAGTACTTAAGGAGGAGGTACTCCTATAGCTAGGTAGTCTAGATGTTAGGGCCCTATTAGGGCACCTGTTAGAGCCCCTACATTGTATGTGTCAGGTGCGTATAAGCACCTATATAACAGCGAGCTGCCACTAAGCTCTCTACGAGGAGGTAGTGATAATTCCATCTTTATAAAATATAAAAGGGATTATTATATAACTAGAGTCCTCTAAGCGAAGCACCTCACACTAGATCTCTACTAATTAATCTAAGTAATAGCTCTACTATTAGGAGATATCTCTTAATATAACTTATACTATAATAACTACTTATATACACTTATATATTTAAACTAACTCTCTACTTAAAAAATAGACTAACTATAAATTAGGATTAAGCTATTATTATATTTTAATTAGTCCTATTTAGTAAGTTACTTTTAAAACTATAAGTAATTAACCTTTATAATATCCACTACTAGTAGTATAATAACTAATCTAAGTAATACTATAGTATAGATAAAATAGTAGATTAATATACTTACTACTTAAATCTAGACTATAAGAAACACTAATAATAGAACCCTTACTCTACCTAAGTTTCCTAAACTTAACTTATTTAATAGAACTAAGGGGGACGTTTAAAACTTCTTAACCTAAGTAAAAGCCTATTTATATATAAATACTACTATTATTAACCCTATAGTATAAATACTTTATATTAAAAACCTCCTTATAGGAAAAGTAATAGAGTAGTAGGAGCTAACTCTTAGGGACTACCTTAATAATAAAGAACCTAAAGATAAGACTATATAAATCTTTAGAGAATATAAACACTTTAAGGAACTACTCTAAACTACTTTTAGAGACTTAGATAAAATATATACTACTATATATAAACTTAAAGCCCTTAAGTAGACTAAATCTACTTAATACTTTATAAGAGAATTTAAATATATCTTAAACTATTTTATATAGGATAATAATAGTATAATAGAGCTACTCTATAATACTCTATAAGAGGATATAAAGAATAAAATTATAAAGGATAAGATCGGAAGAGCAATACCTTTAATAAATTCACTAATAAGATTATTAAGGTTAATAACTAACTCTATACTAAATAACTTAAGTATAGAGGATAAAGAACTAGAAAATAGAATAACCTACTACTATACTACTAGCTAAATAGTAGCTAATATATTAGAGGATCTATAGCCTATAGAACCTATTTAGGCCCTATAGAACTTAATATAGTACACTAGAATACTTTTAAGATAAAGGGTAAAACTTACTATAACTATAAGAAGCTAGGACACTTTATAAATAAGTGTAGGGCACTTAAAAAGTAGTAAAAGCTAGTTTAAGAAAATTAT